TTGGTGTGTTGTGTAGTCGGTAGAGGCTGTGGGGGCTGTTGTTGCGCCGAGGAGGCATCGAAGGAGGAAGCCGAGATGGAGATGGGACCGTTTGACCGGCGAGATGCACGCGATTGACCGCGGCCACGAGAATGTCCTAGACCATGTACCTGAGGAATCGTATCCACGGTGGACACAGGAGCCCCCGTCGACATGATCTCTAGTGGTTCGTGAAGAGAGGCGACTGACCACGGAGGGAGCACAAGGCGAGCGTTCGGAGGGAGGGAGCAAGGAGGTGGTTTGACAAAGATTGGAGCTCTAGCAGCTCAAAGCAGATGAACGGCCGGGAGTCTGGTGCAAACGAGGTGGCATAGCGCCGGGGAGAGGGGGAATTGGGAGCAACTGGGAAACGAGTTGGCAGCTTGACGGGCGCTTGTGGCAAGTAATGGGGATGGGATGGCCCCCAGATGCGCGCCGCCAACTGAATGATCGGCTGCCCGCGATAACCCCCGGGCCACGTGATTGGGCTGGCCGCGGGCTGATCGCCCGGCCTCGATCCGAATGGATTAATCTCCAACCAAACAAACTACCTTGGGCGACTGGCTGAGGTCAGGGAACTTGTTCCAGACACGTCCAGGCCAGAATCTCGCGTTGCTTTTTGCCTGCAGAAACCACGATCAGGCACATTGCATGCATCCTACCAATCCGAGGTCGAGCCGCGCGCTTGATTTGCTTTGACGCGGCATCGAGTGGGGTTGGGGATCGGCCCAGGATTCCTCCGTTCAAACCGGAGTACAGCTGGCAAACCTCCCCTCCCCGGAGCTATCTCCGTGCTTCTTATCTCCTTCCTCTGAGCTGGTGGAATTTCCCCATTTCGCTGGTACTACGGGCCCTTCAATGGCCATGCGCTGAGCTGCATCACGAACCAATCTGTCCAGCATGGTGCTGAACTCAATCGCTTGAACTTCCTTCAAACCCTCCAATAATATCCAACACCATGATCGAGTCGCTCATTAGCGTCGCGTTCTGTCTCTCTACGGCGCTTACTATCGGCATTCTCTTGCTGCCTTCGCGGCATGAGTCCAGGTCTGTCACTAGCCAAAATGCGGCAAATGAACCCAAGACGACTGTTCAGATTCTCGTGTTAGGGGATATTGGCCGTAGTCCGCGCATGCAGTACCATGCCCTTAGTGTTGCCAGAAATGGTGGTCAGGTGGACATGATCGGTTATCATGGTGCGCTAGAAGATGCGCATTTGATTCTCACAAAGCTCCACGCTAATGAATTGCTATAGAATCCGACGTGCATCCCGAGATCTCCTCCCATCCGAGAATATCCATTGTCGCCCTGCCTCCACATCCATCCTGCCTTCAGACAAGCAATAAGCTCCTCTTCCTATTGTTCGGTCCGCTGAAAGTTCTTTTCCAAATCGTCTGCTTGTTCTGGATCTTGGCATATCGTACAAAACCAGCCAAATGGCTTCTCGTCCAGGTTGGTTATTCCACTCCTTGTCCCCAATGCATGATACCATCGAAGCAGCGCTAAGTCCATCCTTTGCCCGTCACAGAATCCGCCTTCTATTCCCACGCTAGCGATCGCATCCCTCGTTTGCTTCTTGCGTCACACAAAGCTCCTCATTGATTGGCATAACTTTGGATACACCATCCTGGCACTCAAACTCGGAGACTCCCATCCGCTGGTCAGATTTTCCAAATCATACGAGAAGATTTTCTGCCAGTACGCGACGGCACACTTGTGTGTAACCAATGCAATGGCATCTGTTCTGAAAGAGGAGTTTGCTCTGAAGGCGCCCATTCTCCCGCTGCATGACCGACCAGCCGATCATTTTCAGCCCATCCTAGACGATCGCGTACGCCAGGACTTCCTGCGCTCGTTGTCGGAGACGGAAACTGTCCGGCCAATTATTGGGTCTGACAAGCTTCGAGTTCTGGTTAGTTCGACCTCTTGGACAGCGGATGAGGACTTCTCGCTTCTCATAGAAGCTCTGTGTCGGTATTCGGACTTGGCTGAGGCATCAAATCCCGACCTACCTTCGATTCTGGCCATCATAACGGGAAAGGGGCCCCAGCGCGAGATGTATTTGAAACAAATTGCCGATCTGGAGAAGAACGGTAAACTTCAAAAGGCCACCATTCGTACCGCGTGGCTAAGCATGGAAGACTATGCACGGTTGCTGGCATCCGCCTCGCTGGGTGTCAGTCTGCACACCAGCAGTAGCGGGGTAGATTTGCCCATGAAAGTCGTCGACATGTTCGGCGCTGGACTGCCCGTCGTTGGCTGGAATCGCTTCGAGGCGTGGCCGGAGCTGGTCACTGAAGGTCGTAATGGACGAGGTTTTGGAAGCTCCGATGAACTTGTGGAACACCTTGTCGAACTCTTTGGAAACCAGGAAGCACTCGAAGAACTTCGCACTGGGGCACGAGAGGAAAGTTCTCGTCGGTGGGATGACGAGTGGAACCCCGTAGCCGGAAAGCTGCTAGGCCTAGTATGATTGAACAGCAAGTGACGGCCATATTTACTGTACAATAAAAGTAGAATATACGCGAAGCAGCACAGACATGACATCGGGCGGATTTCACCTGGGGCATGTCCTCAGACACGGTATTTGCCATTGCAGTAGACGCACGTGTCGAACGCATCGAAGAGCGTTCGGCAGGTGTACGATACGTCAGATTCAGATGGCTCTATACTGTCCTCATTCAGATATTCCTTTCCACACGACGAGCAGACTTTGGAAGATCCGGGGTCCTGAATAGCCAATGACGTCAAGCTACAGCGAACTATAAGGGGAAGAAGAGTTAGCATTATGGCCTTTTGCAACGCCTTCAGTGCTGCATCGAACATACCAAAGACGTGGCCTGTGGCACATTGGGCCTCCTCAGCTGAGTACCATGAGATCCCAGCGCTGCAGATCTCGCATCGCTCAAACATCTGGCCACCAGGCCCATCAAGCATCTCGGCAGGCTTGTGGCCAATCTTAGGTCTAGATGTCGAACACTTCGAGAGCTCTTCGTTCAGATCTACACCCGTGATAGTTGCCAGCCTTACTAAGACCTTGTGAGCTTGGGACAGTAAAGCCTCATTCCTGGATTCAATGATGGTGCAGCAGGCCGTTGCGTAAAGTATGCTCAAAGACAGCGGTTGTCTGTTCTCGTTATTGTCTTCGAAGTGTAGGATGTATCCCAAGGCAGCCTCTCGCTGCTGGCGGAGATATTCGGGAGAGCTGTCCGACACCGACCGAGAATCCAATCCGTCAGATTGAGAACCATCGGCTGTCGACATGATGATTGTTAACCTTTCCTCCGCTGCTGTGCGATACTCAATCATATCCCCTGGGTGTACGGTAATACCAGCTGCGATCATTCCCTTGCAAGAAGCCATACCCCAAGCTCGAGCAACGGCTAGGCCTCCAAGATCGCGGTCAAAGTCATACCTTTCGCGCACATCATCGAGCTGGTCTTTCCATGGGACGGCATAAATCGGGTATTCATCATCGCCATCCCGGAAAGGTACTGCTGCCGTGAATCCTCCGGCTGTAGCTAGGTAGAGTACTGGAGCGTGGGAATCGGTGTCCGTCGCCACAAGCATTGCTTCACATGTTAGCGAGCGAAGGGGCGGATGGTGCGCACTGCTTACCGGATATTGGCTCTGAGTGCCTAGGAGGTTCCGTTTCGCTGTCATTTTCCGGACTTTCGTAGAATAACAATTCTTGCAGCCGCACTCGGCCGGAGCTTGGATGTATGCCTTGATGAGGCTCTTTAGAGGCCTTTATCAATATGAGCCCTGCCAGAGTACCCGCAGCCAGACAGACAGTATGAGAGTCGTCCTATCCAGATCAGTGCCTGCCCAGCTGTAGCGCTTCTGAAACATACCGTACTCAGCCACGCCAATGGCCCGGCAAAGTGATATCCCCCTAAGCCTTCGTAGAATTTTGGAGTAATGTCTTTGGAACTCGCTTCGATTTGCTTTTGCGGCTCTGCGCTTGTCTCGGGGGCTTGAGACAGAACATTCACATCCAAGTGAATCACCTTAAGAGCAGTTCCATGAGTGACAGCGAGAAGCCCACTCGCGGAATTTTTTGCATAAAACCATGGGCCCCACGACATGGACAGAATCTTAATTTTCGATTTCAAAATTTCGGAAAAAATAGACGATGGTTGCAGCTTCGGATAATTCCCATCTGTATCACTAAAGGAGTTGACCGACATAACTCCGGCTTCATATGGCGCACTGAGATCTGTTGATGGCCTGTGAATTCTCAGCACAACAACATCGTTGTCATCATTCGCGATTGAGAGCAGGTGAAAGCCCCAGCGACTCTCAGCAGGTAGGACAGAGTAAGAAGCTGCGGTATGCGTTTCGGCTGGCAGTTTAAGCGGCGGAGACCACGCGAAAGAACGAATGTTAGATTTCCGCAATAGCATGCCATCCTCCTTGACAATGGGGTTGAAATGAGCCTTTAAGGAGTCATTGAGTATGGCAACCCGAGTCCACTTTCCCTGAGAACCGACAGGCTCATACAGCGACAACAGTAAGTTAGATGTCAGAACAGCGAGGACACAACGTCGATATTTTGCCAGTCCTGGAGGGGACCAGGCCAATGCTACTACGTTGCTGAGGGACTGTTCGGCCCCGAGAGAGAAATTATCCCGATTCTGGGGATAGATCGTAGGCCACTCATTGTTCGTGAATACATTGACACGGAAGCGAGCTGAATGCCAATTATTTATGGGGGATTGGTTTGGGTCATGTCCCAATCGTTCAGCTGCATTTTTCGGGGTCTAGGTCATATAAGCATGAGCTTTGATGGCAGGGATTCTAACACTGACTAAGATTTGGATGTAGTCTCCAGCGGCGATCGCGAGCTCCCCATCTTCCGACCACGAGAGACAGTCGTAGCAAGAAGGGAAAAGTGGTAGTTCTAAGGGACCGGACATTTCTTCACAGAGTTGAATCCTACCTTCTCCTCATGGTAGTATTGACAGAACAGAGGCCTTGAAGGTCTTGTCATGTAAGGATACGAGATTCCCGCGATAAGCTAGCGAGCTGCATCAGTTGGAGAACGAAGAGCTCAGCTCTTCTATGGAGATGCTCGTTTAGGTTAGTCCCCCGTTTTGGGCCGTGGAACGTGCAGTGCAGTCACATGATGCATGTGACTTACGTAATCTAGTGGCGCCCGAGACTTTGCCCGGATAGGCTAAGACTCAGCAGTGGGCTTCTGCAGGCCCAACAACGGCGGGCGGCGAGCGAGAGAGAGTCACTACAAACTAGTGAGCTAGTTAGTTAGTAGTCGGATTCCTGACTAACGGCGCTCAGGAGGAGGCACGGCCCAACTCGCCGGTCTTTGGATCAACGCTCATCCTCCCGAGGTGGCTATCGACCTCTCTTGGATTCCACCACCCACTCTCGTCACACCTCAACTTCTCTTCTCTCCGCCTTCGCCTGGGACTTCGGTTTGCCCCCCTCACTCAGTCACTGCGCACTTGACTTTGCGGATCACTGCCAAACCTATCTGGCTCCCCTTGTTCCTTTCTACTATCTCAATAGCTTCCGAGACATCGCCAGTACCCCGCCGCAATGTCGACCTCTGCCCGCCGTCGTCTCATGCGCGACTTCAAGGTGTGTTTATGACGAGCATGGTTCTGAGCTCGCTTTCTATCCTACGTTTCTACCCTGTCTTTATTTACTTTGCTCTTTTTTTTTTTGTCCTTTTCCTCCTCCCCGTCTGGTTTTTATACTTGAAGGGCACCTGAGATGTTCTGTCGTTGGATACGGTTAGTGGTTGCGTGAGCTAACCTGACATTCTTTTACGCAGCGTATGCAAACTGACCCTCCTGCTGGAGTTTCTGCCTCTCCTGTGGCGGACAATGTCATGACCTGGTAAGCTGATCCAGTCACACCTAATGTCGGCCTTTGAGTCCCTAACCTTTGTTACGTCTAGGAACGCCGTCATCATCGGCCCCGCTGATACTCCCTTTGAAGATGGCACTTTCCGCCTTGTCATGCACTTCGAGGAGCAGTACCCAAACAAGCCTCCGGGCGTCAAGTTTATCAGTCAGATGTTCCACCCCAACGTCTACGGTACGGGCGAGCTCTGTCTGGACATTCTACAGAACCGTTGGAGCCCAACCTATGACGTGGCAGCCATCCTGACCAGTATTCAGAGGTACGGACCCTTGCAATCAGGGTAAAGCTGAAGAAAGATGAAACACGAAACATGCTAACGAGTGTTTTACTGGCTTGTAGTCTGTTGAACGATCCCAACACATCATCTCCGGCGAATGTAGAAGCGTCAAACCTTTACAAAGACAACCGGAAGGAGTACATCAAGCGCGTGCGCGAGACCGTCGAGAAGAGCTGGGAGGACTAGGATAGTACTGACGTAGAGAAGCTGCGGATTATTGTTATGGGTTTTGGTCGCTTGAGGGCACATGGTTATGATGAAGCAGACTTGTCCGTCTCCGGTGCGACGGAAGCTAACGGCAAGCTGCTGTGATCCGTTTCATGCGTTTGTGGGGGGACTCCTACCTTGGCTTGATGGAGTCTTACACCATTTGATGACGTGCACAGCGTGGGGTTTTGGCGCCTGGTACATTTAATATTTCATTCGGTATTGTGGATAGCTGCATTATATTTTTCAGTGTGTTTTTGCATAATGCATTAACTCTGTCGGGCTCTTGTTTACCTTCGCTGCATGTCACATAACTCTTATCTCCTCACTGCGTGGCTTTTTGTCCCAGACCAGTTAGTTTTCAACCCGAGCCCCTCATATGAGCCCTTCCCGTGATCAGACCGTAAGGCAGGTACAACAGTCAATGACTACATGCAACATTCTTCATGTTTGGCGGGGATGGACATGCGGCACTTGAGGATGGTTAGGCGGGCGCCAAGAACACTCTAAAACGGAGGGGGGAAAGCCAGATGCCTGCTTTGCACCGGAACAACTTCCAGAGTTCCCAGAAACAATGCTGCATACCTAACTTCACACCTACACTTGTTTTGCTCCCCACCTTAGGCAGGGAAGATCAGTCCAAGACCACGTCACAACGCACTATCGTTGTCTATTCATGGGTGCTGGGGCCCTTTTTCTGTTGCCCGATCTCTCTTAATTCTTGGGGCTGCCGATAGCGCATTTATTGCACACGTTCGTTTCGGTCTAGTGCACGTGGACCCCTGACCCAAACAACACCGCCCACCGACCCTGGCCCTCCAAAGCAGACTTGCCTCATTGTTGATCTGAACGAAGTCCCCCCTCACTCAATCCCCTCCTCTCGGGGCTTTCTTTCCTTCTTGTCCTCTTCTATCTTCATCGGTTTTTTTCTGTTCGGGTCAGACTGAACATGGCGTGAGTTTCTGGTTGCTTCACCGCTTGACCGTGGGAGCGGTTAGGACTGATTTGTTTCGCTTGACAGGTCATCTGGCCCCAACGGCTCGAACAACACCATTAAGGGTGCGCATCAACTCCCCGCCGCGTCGTATACTTTTTTGAGTTTGGAGGTGATCTTAAAACTGACGGTTCACACACAGTGGTTGCGAGGTTCCGACCGCAAAACAAGGTTGAGTTGTCCTCTGGAGGAGAGCCGATTGTTGAATTCGAAAATGAGCAATCATGTTACGTTAATGTGAGCTTTTCTCTCGACTTGTGAGGGTGTGGCATAGGAGGCAAGTTCGCCTAGTGGGCTAACTCAGTTCAGGCCCGTGATGGCTCTGGAGCCTTCACCTTCGACCGCGTGTTCCCTATGGACTCGAAACAAACGGATATCTTCGACTTCTCGATTCGGCCCACCGTAGACGATATTCTGAACGGTTATAATGGAACGGTCTTCGCTTACGGTCAGACGGGTGCAGGAAAGTCTTACACCATGATGGGTTCGGACATCGACGATGATATTGGCAAGGGTATCATTCCCCGCATTGTCGAGCAGATCTTCGCCAGCATCCTCACCAGCCCAAGCAACATCGAGTACACCGTCCGCGTGAGTTACATGGAAATCTACATGGAACGAATTCGAGATTTGCTGGTGCCGCATAACGACAACCTTCCCGTTCACGAGGAGAAATCGAGAGGTGTCTATGTGAAGGGTCTCCTGGAGGTGTACGTGTCAAGCGTCCAGGAGGTGTACGAAGTCATGCGACGTGGTGGTACAGCAAGAGCGGTTGCGGCGACAAATATGAACCAGGAATCCTCTCGGTCCCACTCCATCTTCGTCATCACTGTTACACAGAAGAACCTGGAAACCGGCTCTGCGAAGAGCGGACAGCTGTTCTTGGTGGATCTGGCAGGTAGTGAGAAGGTTGGAAAGACGGGCGCCAGTGGTCAGACGCTCGAAGAAGCAAAGAAGATCAACAAGAGTTTAAGTGCTCTTGGTATGGTCATCAACGCGCTAACGGATGGCAAATCCACGCATATCCCGTACCGTGACTCCAAGCTCACGCGTATTCTGCAAGAGAGTTTGGGAGGTAACTCGAGAACGACATTGATCATCAACTGCTCCCCCAGCAGCTACAACGACGCGGAAACCATCTCCACCCTGCGTTTCGGTGTGCGCGCCAAGGCAATCAAGAACAAGGCGAAGGTCAACGCCGAATTGAGCCCTTCGGAACTGAAGGCACTTTTGCGCAAGGCCCAGAGCCAGGTGACGAATTTCGAAACATATATCTCACAACTTGAGACTGAAGTACACGTGTGGCGCAGTGGCGAGGCCGTTCCCAAGGATCGCTGGACTCCCGCCAGAGGGGATGCTGTGAGCGCCGCGAAGGCCGAGGCTCGTGCACCACGGCCCGGTACGCCCTCCCGTTTCCAGGACACGCCTCGATCTGAGACTCCTCGTCCTGAGTCCAGGCTTGGCGATCGCTCTAGCACACCTAGCCTTGTTCTCGAGAAGGACGAGAGAGAGGAGTTCCTTAGACGCGAGAATGAGCTTCAGGACCAGATCGCGGAGAAGGAGTCGCACATCGCCAACGTCGAAAGAGGTCTCCGTGAGGCGCGGGAGGAGTTGAGGAGCATGAAAGAAAACTCCGCCCGCTCAGGCAAGGACAACGATAAGTTGACCACCGAGGTCAATGAGCTTCGCATGCAGTTGGAGAAGGTGTCGTATGAAAGCAAGGAGGCCGCTATCACTATGGACAGCCTCCGCGAGGCGAACTCCGAGTTGACTACCGAGCTGGACGATGTTAAGCAGCAGCTCCTCGACGTCCGGATGAAGGCCAAGGAGACCAGTGCTGCACTGGACGAGAAGGAGAAGAAGAAGGCCGAGAAGATGGCGAAGATGATGGCCGGATTCGACTTGGGCGGTGACGTGTTCTCCGATAATGAACGCAAGCTTCAGGACTTGATCCAGCGGGTCGATTCCTTGCACAAGGTCAGCGAAGCCGGCGAGACGATCGCGCCTGACGACCTTATGGAGCTGCGGGCGAGTCTCCTGGAGACCCAAGGGTTCATCCGTCAAGCCGAGCTCACGATGAACGACCGGGGAGATTTCAATGAGCTGCAGGACAGCCGTAGAGCGGAAGTTGAGCAGAAGCTGGCGAATCTCGAGCGGGACTATGAGAACCTTCTGGAGCGGAACCTGGGCGAAGGCGACGTGGAGGAAATCCGGGAGCGGTTGGAGAAGGTGTACGTGACCCGGAAGGAGGCCGAAATGCAGGCAGTCACGGACCTTAGGAACGAGATTGCACGCAAGGATGATGAGCTGGACAAGCTGCGCCAGTCCCTTGCAGACTCCCAATCCCGGGTCTCGACCAACGGCGCAGCCGGCAAGAACCTGCAGCAGCAGATTGCCGACTTTGATGCCATGAAGAAGTCGCTCATGCGCGACCTCCAGAACCGCTGCGAGCGCGTTGTGGAGCTTGAGATCTCGCTGGACGATGCTCGGGAGCAGTATAACAACGTTCTCCGTTCGTCGAACAACCGGGCCCAGCAGAAGAAGATGGCGTTCCTGGAACGCAACCTGGAGCAGCTGACTCATGTGCAGCGGCAGCTGGTAGAACAGAACAGCAGCCTGAAGAAGGAGGTTGCTATTGCGGAGAGAAAGCTCATTGCCCGGAACGAGCGGATTGCGAGCTTGGAGAGCCTGCTCCAGGAGAGCCAGGAGAAACTCACCCAAGCGAATCACCGGTACGACCCTCTCCACTCTTTTGACAAAGGAACGAAAGCAGGTTGCTGACTAGATGATGATACAGATTTGAAGCCCAACTCACTGCGGTCAAAGAGCGACTCGAAGCTGCGAAGCAGGGCTCTACGAGGGGTCTTCCAAGTATGGATGGCAGCGGCGGTTTCAGTTTTGGCGGCTCGAGAATCGCAAAGCCGCTCCGAGGCGGCGGCGGAGGAAACGAGAGCAGTGCTCCAGTTGCAGGAGTCCAGTCGCAGGAGACTGGGAAGCGTACCAGCTGGTTTTTTGATCGACGATGATCCACGATTTCTCTTTTGCTGTCTCTTTTACCCATTCTCCGAAAATATTTGAAGCCCTGTTGACATGTCGATATCCTCGCGTACGGTCATTGGCATGACGTTGGATGAACGCGTTTGTTATTTTATTTCATGATTGTTCCTTTATACTTATCCCTTCTTTCCTCCCCTCGTTTGCAATCTGGCACGTTCGGAGTCCGCAGCCTATGTTACGAGAGGCCCATGGTTCTCACCGATACCCTTGTACATGACAGATAGAAGTGTTCACGGCCGCAGTAGTTGATAGCGACATGGGTGGTTGATAGAAATGACACGTTAGAATATGGAATGTTTCTCCGTAGCCATTTTCTGATCTACTGCTACGTTAGCTGGTTCAAGTTCACTATTTTGGTTCAATGCTTGGAGTCCAGAACCGAATTTTCCACGTGATGACATGCAGGATAGAGACGATCCCTACCAAGATATTTTTGACCGCCACAAAGTCCAAGGCATTCATTCCATCTCTGTCCGGATAAACAGGTACACGCAGGCGACTACCGACTGTGGTATGTGGGTAACAAGCTTGTGCTAGTGTTTTGGGCTGGGGCCATGAAGTAATATGAGTGAGAATTCCCTTATGGCTAGCCGTCATCCCTTCGAATGAACTGGAGGCTGCATCTCAACCGAGTCTGCTAGTCAGGTGAGGTCGCTATTATTCGTATCTTCTGCTTTCTCTCCTCCCTTCCTTCAGCTAAGCTCTACAATGGAGCCATGTCAGAGCCATCGAAAGCTTAGCCCCTTGCCCGTCCATGTGCTCGTCCATTTGCTTACAGGAATGTCAACAGCAGACATGTCCTCCCTTGATCCAGAACTCAACGCCCTTTGGGCATATGCGCATGCGTCAGTCATGGGGAATGTGCTTAGACAACAGAGACCATCTGCTCACACACTGACAGCTACCTCTTCACTCTATTGAGGGCCCGCATACCTCCTGCACGGGATTCAATGCTTCGCCCTTTCATCGAACCTTGAATTGGCAGTGCTCATTGGTCGATACACCCCACACCAGGCGAGATCTGAGAGATCGATCGCGTATCCTGACAACACATACATCAAGTTTCCCGCGCTAGTTGCATTGCGGCTGGCTAGCTAGAGGTTCCTCGACAGAGTATAAAAGGAGACCTTTGTAAGTGGCGATACTTGCCCACCAGCACCACTTCATTATAACTCGTTGAATTCCTCTTAAACAACCAGTTCATCAGCATACTGCTCAGGAAAGGCCAGCAGATTCCTTCTCTGCGTATGTCTCAGAGTGCCAATCCGTAATCATGACTATCGACACCAAGGTAACCCCATCTGAGGATCACTGCTCGAAGCCACTTATCGTCATTGCCTGCACGACAATAATCGGGCACACACTCCCATTACTCCCTCATGCCACCGCGCTGACCAAACAAGGCTTCGACGTCTCCTTCATCGGCGGTCAAGAGTTCGAAACTCTCATCCGCAAAACCGGAGCAACCTTCTACCCATTAAAAAACCTATACTCCCCCGAGAGTCTAGACTACGTGAAGACAATTCCCGATCGCATCGCACGCACTGTCTGGGGCCTGAAGACATATTTCGTTGACGTGACCGCATCCAGAATGAAGTCACTACAGGCTGTCCTGGAAACTCTCCGCGAAAAGCACCCAAACCGCGAGGTCATTCTCATCCAAGAGCTCGGCTACATGGGCACCTGGCCGTTCCTTCTCGGAGCACCCCTACCCAAAGGTTACGAGCGATTTCCCAAGACCCTCACATTCTCCACCTCACCCTTGCTCGTCTCAAGTGTCGACACAGCACCGTTCGGCCACAGTTTACCTCCCGACCCCAGCGACGACGGCCGAGCCCGCAACGCTGCCATGTACGCCGCCGAGAAAGCCATCCGCGATGATCTAGTTGACTACACCAATAGCGTGTATGCATCTCTTGGAGCAACCATGAAAGTAGACCAGTGGTTATTCGACCTGTGGAGCACGGGTCATAACATTCTCCTGCAGCCCTGTTCCCCAAGCTTGGAGTACCCGCGCAGCGACCTTTCGCCCAAGGTCCGGTTCATTGGCGGCACACCACGCAGGGAAGTCGACCCGTCTACACCCCTGCCTGAATGGTGGGGTGAGCTGGAGATGAACAGACAGGCAACGAACCCGAAGAAAGTCGTCTTCGTTACCCAGGGTACTATCAAGATTCATTACAAGGACCTACTCATCCCCACCGTACAGGCCTTTGCCAACCGACCAGATGTCATGGTCATTGGCGTGCTAGGAGTGAAGGGCGCAGTATTGGACGATGACTTCGAGATACCCGATAACGCCAAAATCACCGATTACCTTTCATACGATGCGGTTCTTCCGTACGTTGACGTCTTCGTGACAAACGGCGGATATGGCAGCTTTATGCATGGCGTGATGAACGGAGTGCCCATGGTGTTAGCCGGGACAGTTCGTAAGTCCTCCCTCGGCCTTGGAATTTGACCAATCACTAACGACAACCGCCGTATCCGTAGAAGACAAAGGCGAAGTATGCATGCGCGGAGAATGGGCCGGAATCGGTATAAACCTGCGAACCGACACTCCCAGCCCCGAGACCATCAGAAAGAGTGTAGAGCTAATATTGAGCGACCCTGAATACAAGGCTCGCTCGGTGGTGATTCAGCGTGAGAATGAGGAACTTGATTGTGTTGGCTCAGTACAGCGATATATCCTTGAAGACGAGTAATAACATTGGATAATATTAGAATTAGTGTATGTTTACTACCAGGAAATAACGGAAATAACTTATAGTAAAGCGAACTACCATTATATAAATAGTATTGGATATCAACATGTACCAGATGATGATCCTAGGAAATGAATGAACATCACTCGCCACCCACCAATGAAAATAAAGGCAAGATGGCCGAGTTGGTCTAAGGCGTCAGGTTTAGGTCCACCTAAATAAATCAGCTTCCACAAGCTTCCTGATCATCTTTCGATGGCGTGGGTTCGAATCCCACTCTTGTCATTTAATTTACTTTTTGTTTTCTGAGTCCCTAATTAGCTGCTGTTTGATGTATAACATTGGATTTCATCACAGTTTACTTGGTTTGATGTCCTACCATAGCATTTGGATGCCCTGATGTAGAGACTCGCTTCAGTCTTTTGCTCGCGCTTAGAATCATTGTCTTTCGATTCGAAGCACGGAGTATGTACATTCTAATTTGATTGGCACTTCTATCTAGTATACATACACGAGGTGTCCGGCACTATATAGTTGTTTGGTGTTTATCTTGAGTGTTAGTACTTTTGTAAACAATATAGAGACAGCCTTTCTCCCTTCAAATTCTGTGTCCACTATGGTAATACTACTTAAGAAAGATAAGGCCATCAATTGTCAGTTTTGTATCCTGCGTGTCCTTTCCAATTTCGTAAGTGTGTAGTCTGAATCTCGAGTATACTATGGACAATGGAGCTGAGGTTTCTATTCTATATACACTAAAATTTACACATAATACAAGCAGAGTGGAGAGGGGTATCGTCTACTACGTATCATACAAAAACAGCCTATACCTTCACGACTACTCTTTGACTGAAACCACGATTTCACTCAACCATGGATCATCAGCCAGCTCTTTGGCCGTCTTCCGGTTCTCAGGCAGCCATTGCAAGATTTTCCTAGCGAAATCCAGGAATTCGTCTTTCTCTGTATCCTTGAGGAGGTAGGTCACTGTGTCTTCGAGAGCCTGGTTTTCTGGGATGAGATGCTTGTGTAGAAATTCCCCTGGTTTTTTATAGTGGTGGCTTTTGTCAGTATAGTATCTATGGCAGATAGCAAGTAGTAGGATGGAAGGTATAAACTCACCGTTCTTATCAAAAAACGGCCCACCGAACCACTCTGCAGGTGAGTTGCAAAGCTTTCCATTGGGACTCCTTAGCTTTATACCGAATGTTCGGTTGAGTCCTTCTTTCTCCCGGGCTATGAGTTCCTGAGGTGGTGGGCCGAGAAAGGCTATCATCTGCGCGAGATGAGCGGCTGGGGTGCCTTTCAGGTTTGAGTCGCGGGCGTTAGAGAAGAGGATCTTGTCTTCGAGCAGTTCCCATATCTGTGTATCAACACATTGTTAGTATGCATTTGTTCGGTCGATGAGGTGGGTGGGGTACCATTGCTCCTAGGTTCCATATGTCAGCGCTGTATGACCAGCCCGCGCCGAGAAGTACCTCGGGTGCGCGGTAACAATCCGGTTGAATTGGCCAGGTATTTGTGACGCCGTCGAGTTGGAATTGAGCGGATCCAAAGTCAGAAAGAACTGGAAGAAAGTTAAGGGATTTGGGGCGGCCGAAGTTGTTGTGGGAGAGGTAAATGGTATGGCCGTCAACTGTCTTCTGGGACATGGGTTTTGATGGTTGGGATTGGGCAAAGCTGTGTAGGACTGAAGAGTCTTCGATAGATACGAGAATGTTGGCCGCTTTTATATCTATGTAGTTGCAGTTCATGAGGATACTGTGCTGGATATGCTGGGGGAACTATAAGTGGTACTAGCCGGTATGGATGATCTTGCATTCGGAGTGCAAGTAATCGAGTCCCATCAGGAGACATTTGATGTATCCCTTGAGGATGTCAAGAGGAAATCTATCGTTTTGGAAACGCCCTTGTAGAAGTGTCAAGGGCTCTCGCAAGGGCTCGTAGGCCAGACAGATGTGTGTCCCGTTCGGGCTCTTCTCTTCGAAGGAGTCGACAAATGTTCTCAGAAGAGGGTGGCCGGGATGTTTGGGGTTGGAGTCGCGGATGCATTGTTCCATATTGAGTTCATGACTTTCATGGCCTTTAGCGTAGTCGCAAGTGCCGATTTTCAATGTCAGGTAGCGTTCCGGGAGCCATTTCCATCTAGTAGTACGGTCCGGGCATTAGCGCTGTGGGGATGAGGAGGTGGGCGGCATACTGCTGAAGATCGCGAACAAGCCAGACGGTGGAGCTCACTCCCCAGCCAAGCTTGGTCAAGGCCTCATAGCGATCATTGAAAATGTGTCCCGGTTTAACGGGGAAATAGGCACTGGGTTTGAAGCCTGGGATCTTCTCCTCTTCGATCTTGGGTTCGGGAGGAAGCTCCAGGCCGGTGCCATGGAACGAAGTGCGGGACTTGCGCCCCAACGCTGACCAGACACGAAGTGATTGGGCGAGTCGCTTAGCCATGTTCTACTTACAGTAGTGGAACTAGATCGCGAGAGGAGTTGCATGCGCTGGATGAAGTGAAAAGACTGAAAGGAGCTGTCAACGCGCATCCCTGCATGGCTTAGATAAGCCTGTCACACATTGAATCAGTCTGGCTGACTTCTTGTCTTTCAAGAGCCGATGACAATAATACAGATGAAAACTGGACAGATCTGCTCGAGTCACATTTTCCCTATTGTAATGGGAGCTGGACATTATGCGGTGCTTACCAGATCTTTGCGATCACTAACACTGGTCAGTGTGCAGCTTCCCTTTCACGAGGCTGGGCTGTCAAGAGATGCAGTGATTATAGTATAGTGCAAGTTATGTTTCTAGCATGCTACCAGTTCATTCTGGCAGATTGGGACATTCACCGTAGCCAAATGCTTCACCAGATTCTCTGCCACCTAATGGTTCATTCCCTGGGGGGAAAATCACTAGCAGCCTACGCGATTCTAGCAGTAACTGTCCGCCACTCTGAGCTAAGCTGCCGAGTTACACCCTCCAAATCTCTCATCGGAATGCTATTGTTATCAAAATGGTATACCCTCGGCGGGTTAGATTCTACTGTACGGTCAACACCAATGGCTAACAATTTGTAAAATACGGTCACCTGCTCTGTTATTAGTCTAAATACCTTCTCTTATAGCATATTAAGCTAGACCAGCTGGGAGATTGGAGCCCCAAGGGTCCATGATTTTTGGATAGACTCTTCGTGATAGACACCATTCTTGCACTTTAGCTCCGGTACAGCTGAACTTGAAGATAGCATCAATACTACTTTATTTATCTAGTACCACTTGAGATAAAACAATACTTTTCGCCCTGCAAGTTCTACTTTTTCGAAGCATTTCATCTCTACATACTCAACCAGCTTGTAGCCAAGCTTCTTACGTTTCCTGTTAGATCCATATTGTCACATATACTCATATTCCTATCTTTCTATCATCACAACCGAAGTCGCTGAGAGGCAGTTCAGAACAGGCTCTTCTTAATGTCTACAACCTCCGTTCCTCCGCCGCGGTATCCAATACGGCCAGCACATCTTCACCTCGGTAATTAAGGCCAGAGCCAAAGCAGACAATATCCCATCCTGAGTCTCAGTCCCCATTAACGGTCAGGACACTATGGGTTACTCGCAATAGTGGAAGCAAAATCTGAGGGATGTATTGGATGCGAAGATACGCTGGATGGGCCGGAAGGACATGTCAGCGCGCATCCCTGCGTGACTTAGTTAAGCCTGTCATACAAATGGATTCAGTCTGACTCCCTCTTTTTCACGCTCGCTTCGTTTAAGTCGATGACGATGACACGGATAAATATTGGACAGACCTGCCAGAGTCTCAGCTTATTTTGTCTGGGCTGACGTGCTAAAAGCCGCCAGGCATCCTCTAGTGCTTACTAGATGCCTAAGTGCGTACTAACGCCTGCTAGCGGAGCTTCACAAGGCTGCGGGGTGCTTAGGAATTAGTATATAATGCAGTCATGTCTCCAGGCTGACACTTCTTCTTGATAGTTTCTCACCAATTGTCGACGATTTTCACCAAGAAGTAACAACAGCACATACTCAATGGCATCTTCTTTCCAATCCCCGTTCCCTCTTCCAGGTGTCCAACACGGCCAGCGCATCCTCACATCCGTAATCGAGGCCAGAGCCAAAGCAGACAACACCCCACCATGGGTCTCCGTACCGATCAATGACCAGGACCTGTCACAGGGATTTCGGGATATCAGCTTCAAGGAGCTGAACAACGCGGCCAACCATGCAGCACACTGGTTGAAGACAAACCTGCCTCCGACGTCTGAGCCGTTCCAATGTTTCGCCTATGCTGGACCTAAGGATCTGCGATACCAGATTCTGGCAGTGGCAGCGGCGAAGGTGCAGAGGGTGGTACGTAATAATTCTCAGACATCCAAAATGGACTTCATTTTGAGAACAAGCATAGATGGTCCTTCCCTCGCCACTAGTCACTCCCGAGGCCCAGCTGCATATTCTCGAGAAGAAAGGATGCACAGTCTACTTGAGGCCGTCGTCAATGGAAGCGCCCGTTGCAGAGATTCTAAAAGCAGCTCCACATGTCCAGACCGTTACAGTGCCAGATATTGAAGCCTTCATGCAAGAGGCAGAAGCAAAGCCAGTCAACTACAGCAAGACCTACGAGGAAGGCAGGGCAGATCCATGGCTAGTGTTCCACACTTCAGGCACAACAGGTACATCCCCTCCCATCCACAATCAAGACAGTATACCAACCCTCCCAGGAAACCCCAAACCAGTAACCTACACCCACGAAATGATGGCCGGAGCAGACATCGTCGCCTCACTTTCTGACATCGGCGAGACCCAAATCCACCACTACGCCCAGCGCCGCTGCTACACCCCACTACCATCACTCCACGTACGCCCAACCCCCATACCTCCCATTCAACCACAATCCCTAACTAAAACTCCAAAACAGTTCGTAGGCATGGCCCTCTCCCTCTCCATGACGACCTTCATCCACATGACCGCCGTAATTGGACCCCCAAGCCCACCCACCCCCTCAACCATAATCTCTCTCCTCCACCACGGCAACGTCACCACGGCAATGTTCCCACCCTCCCTAATCGACGCCCTAACCCTCACACCCGAAGGCCTCTCCGCCCTCCGCTCCCTCCAATACATCCAGTACGCGGGCGCCCCTCTATCCCCCAAAACCGCCTCCCTCCTGCTGCCCCACGTCCCCATATTTCCCGCAGTCGGCAGCACCGAAGCAGGCGGCTACTTCACCGAACTGCACCCCCACCGGACAGACGCATGGGACTACCTAACCTTCAACAAGCACACCGGCGTAGCATTCGAACCACGCGGCGACGGCCAACTCCACGAACTAGTCTTCATCCGCGACCCCTCCTGCGCCCTCCAACCCATCTTCAAACTCTACCCGGACCTCTCACGCTTCGAAACCAAGGACCTCTGGCAAGAACATCCCGTCCACAAGGGATTATGGAAGATTATCGGGAGAGTAGATGACTACGTGTACTTATCGCACGGGGACGGGATCAATGTTGCGCTGTTGGAGCCGGAGATTGTGGCGCATCCGGGGGTCAAGAATGCCCTGATTGGGGGACATGGGCGGGCGAAGCCGGTGTTGCTGGTGGAAGCTGTTGAGGATGTGGAGGATGAGGGGAAGAGGAGGGAGTTTATGGAGTCGTTGAGACCATATCTTGATAGGGTTAATGAACGGTGTCATGAGTGTGTGCGGTTGGGGCTGGAGAGGGTGGTTGTGGCAAGGAGGGAGAAGCCGTTTGTGATGACGGGGAAGGGGAGTGTGGCGAGGTGGAGGACGTTGGAGATGTATGAGGGGGAGATTGGGGAGGTTTGTGGGTGAAATTGAGGGTGAGGATAGGGTGGGGCGTAGGTTGCGAGTTGTGAGAGGTATGGAGGGGATGGGAGAACAGTAGGGGGTGTATATAGTTGTATAATTTTCAAGAAGAGGTATATTTGGAAGTGTGGTTGGTTGTCTGTTTTGATGGGTAGACGGGTTTGTTCTCCGCAAGTGTAGATCCACGAGTAAATGAAGATAGCTTGTGCGGGAATTGATGTTTGTACTCCTGAGTAGTGTTATATACAAACTATACCTAATTCCTTCAGTCCAAAGCATTTAATTCCTTTGTTACAGTATCAAACCGTTACTTTTTTGGGCATATACACATCAATCCAATCCTGCAGGGTCATTTCCCATTTTCGCCAAACAATCAATGGGTATCTAACCGTCAACCAAACCATCCCAAGAGAAACAAGATAAAGCCAGTCCAATTCACGAACTCCAAACGTGCTATACATATTCAATTCTTAAAATCAATCAACAATACGCACCCGCACCCCGTCCATCCCCATTGACGACGTCAACTGATCCATCCAGTCCGTTGTCGGACCCTGCTTGTAATCCGGGGTGATCAGTGACTCCACAACGAGCTGGGGATGCCCCGGCGAGCTTGACGGAGTCTTCGGGGAGCTGTACTCCGATGCCGGACTGACCACACTCTCCGGGGATGGCGGATTGGATAACAGACGAGCTTCTTTCTGCAGTGTCTCACGCTGGCTCGGGTCCAGCATGATGACGAGATAATTCAGGATCGTAAGTCCGGCGTGCACGCCTCGCGTGACATGCGCCGAATATCCCTCGAAGAAGAATTGGGGAAGGGGTCCGATGAACCCGCGCGGCTTACTGTGGCCGGCACGAAGCATGGATATGGCCACACCGAACTCGGTGTGGATACCGCGCAGGGCAGCGCGGGTAGCTTGCACGCTTTGCAGCAAGGGGGGTTCGAGCTTGGCCCGTTTGGTGAGGGGTAAAGAGAGTAGCTCGCGGACGCGTTTGACGTAACCGGGGATTTTTATAATCTCGCGCAGGCCCCGGTCCACTACGTCCGTATATAATGACGAATCGGGCAGCTTGGCGTTGTCGTCAGAGATCTGCTCGTTGAGGGTTTGCCATTCAGGTTCCTCGAGAAAGCAGGCTTCGCCCTCAATGAGGGCAGCGGAGACAAGCATCGGCCGGTAGACAATATACATGGCACGACCGAAACCATAGAGATGGGCCCTGGGGCCACGAAGTTTGAGCAAGGCGCGGATACCGTGGGCGTGGTGGATCCACGCCTCTGGGCCGGTACAGTGGTGTTTCTCAAACACGGCGAGGACAATTGCGGTGGAGAGAGCTTCGTCGGATTTGGCGGTCGACTCGTCGGCGAGAAGGCCGGCGAGACCGGCGAGAGAGCGGGTGTAGAAGGAGCGCGCGACGTCATTGAATTCAGGGATATCGTAGAGGGAGGCGGTATAAGACAGGGTGCAGGCACGAATGGCCCAGTCGAAGCAGGAGTTCATGGCGCCACGGCGACGGTCGACATATTCGACCCAATTGACGGGGACGCGAGTTTCGGTGCATTTGAAGAAGCAAGGGAAGGCAGTGAGGACGTAATTGGTGAAGATTTGGGTTTGTTGCGCGGAGACCGCAGTGACGGTCAGAGAGGGCGAGACGGATTCGTCCATTGACAGCGGCAGCGGGGCGAATCGCACGTCGCGCCCGCGGGCCGAACCTGGAGAAGGCGGGTCCCTCTCGCGGGGTGCGCGGGGGACAAGTTGCGACGACGCAGTGGATGTGGAAGTAGAAGAAGTAGTGGAGGTGGTCGGTGAGATGGAAGTGCGGTAACGTTGTTGGAGAGCAGGTACTTCGTTGCGGAACTTGAAGGTTCGGGCCTGGCTTAGACAAGGCACGTTGCGGGTTTTGCAGTGATTACAAGGGGATTTGCCGTCGCACTAGAAGAGAGCCGATTACTGACGGTTAGAACCTGACCTTCTCAAACCAGACACACATTTTGGCCCTCATTCATTAAGGAGGCGGACACCCGGAGAATTAAATAATGCAGCAGCAGCAAGACCCTGGTGGATACCATGTAGTCCAGAAAGGAATGTCGGCAATTGACATCTGGCACATCTGGCAGGTTTAGGGGGCAAAGCATGCAGCAACAGACAAAGAAACGACAGCCAACATCTGTGCAACACAGGGTTCAGGGGTCAAGCACAAGGAGAGGAATGGCGACTAGTAGACGCCAGGACGGGCGGCCCGATGCTTGGGGGAGGACAGCAAACAATGAAGGAAGCCAACGACCAACACGGAACCATCAGTGATTCGATTATCCGTATCACACACGCACCTGAGTATGGGCGTCAGCGCAAGCCCGACAACCGCGTGGCACTCGGACCATGCTGAAGATAGATCAACAGCCCCAGCCAGACCGCTGCGATCTGGCAGCCAAGGCATGGAGAAAATGTGAGGCAGGGACGCAGGGGGGAAGGCGGGGGGGTGAGGGAGATCGAGCGACGTGAGAAAAGGGGGGGGGGGGGGGGGAGGGGGGAGAAAGGAGTCAAGTGGAGGGGAGAAAAGAGAAGATATGAATCAATTTCGAGTAAGAGTAGTAGTTGAGAATGGTAGGGAGTGGATGAAGTGAGAGGAAGCGAGGGATGGTGGGTGAGAGAAGGGAGAAAGGAACGGGGGAGAAGGCAATAATGGAACGGAGGAGAAAGAGGATGGCGATGGATGGACGGTGGAGGTGGTGGAGCAGCATCGGCAGGGCTGGGCGAGAGAGTCTGGACTCAATTGGTTGCGAGGAATCATGGACCAGAGGGACTGCCTTCAACTCTCCAGGATTCCCAAGAAACTCCAGGATGGACGGATGGCCTCGAGTTTGTCCGGTTGAATCCAAGTGATTGGCCCGCTGTCTGTCCGGATCGACACCGGGAGGCGATCCATCATCTCATCCTAGTCTCTCTCTCTTTCTCTATTTTCTCTCCTACTGACAACACTGCTACTATCCCAGGAAATTAGTTAGTTATACAGTGTTACTCAACAGATACTTACTCTGTACTTATCCCTTCATCGCCATTCCCAACCTGCTAATCCATCCCATCGTAAAGAAGATTCCTCCCCACACGAACCCCCCCCCATGTGCCTCCAACCCACATGCAAACCTTATACCAAGCAGCAAAGCATAACCATAACCAGCGTAGCGATAAACTTCCCCCCGACCGCATAAGGAATAAAAACTCAGTTCCAAGTTCCGTCCACGTCTAGATCCCAGCAACTAGTAAGTCCCGGTTAAAATCGGAAAAGCACAACCGTTCCTGACCGTCTCTACGATTGGCGGGACACAAAACCAGGAAGTTAACTCTCGCAGGAACAATAGACAATCTTAATGTGGGATGATCGGCATGATGCCGATGTCAATAGTGAGAAAAAGACAAGAAAGAGAATTATGCACGGTGCCCAATGTAGTCCCCCCGTCCGTGATATGGTCGTGCATATGAAGAATTCATCATTCGTCACTGGATGAGTTGGGAGAAGGGGGAAAAAGCAAATAATATTGCCAATGGGACAGATCCCGGTTCTCGGGAGGAGTCCGGTTTTTGATGCAGAAACTAAATTTACTTATTCGAAGATTATGGTGTTTATTTATATTGCTTGTTTATTTGGTTGGTTGCGGGCTGCCAACTAGTACTATGTAACACCGAATCAAATCCCGGGTGATGTGGATGCTTTAGTTACTACTCGGTATTTGCTTGGAGGTACATGTGAGAAGACTCGATTTTGTATTCTTTAATGAGCATAGTAAACCAGATACAAATCGTGCTCATGGCCGCCATTCAATGAACGAGCTGTATATGTCTTTAGCTAGTAGTCACTGCAATCATACCGACACATGCGATGAAGTAACGCCGCTACAAAACAACCTGCCCAAAAAGAAAAAAGGAAAGAAAGAAAAAATAGTCAAAATAACAGCTAAACGACTATGTACAGGCGATCATAAATATTTTCATCGGCCGGGAATCGACTCCCTTCTCACCCTTTGTACATACCCAGGTTGTCTCCAGCGGCCATAGTTCCAGCTCAGCAAGAAGTTTAAGAAAGAAAATGGACAATCAAAAATACCGCTATGAGCAGCCGCGACCAACTATCGGCAGTGCGTTAGTGCAAAGGCATGGCGGTGGATTCCAGGCTTGGGCGCATTTATCAAGTCAATACGAGCAGTAATAATGGGAATCCTGAAGAATGAGCAAACACATAGAAGGAAAGAAAGAAAAAGAGAAGAAGAAGCCAAGTCACAAAAATGGACGAAAAGGAGCAAAAGCAGATAAAGCATGTCAACAGTTAGCGCCAATTCACCAGGAGGAGAGTTTCACCATCCGAGACACATCAATGATGCGAAGAAGCAACCATGGTCATTATGCCACCAGCCCACCCAACTAGACAGCAGCAAGTAACAGTCTTGCTGTTGTGGTTGTGGTTGTAGCAGTAGTTAGCCGATCTATCCCTACACCAGCCCATCATACAACGACAGCGCGCTGACGATGGTCTCGTCCCGCTTGCTGCCCTCCTTGAACTCTTCCATGTCGAGGCTGCCGTTCTCATCCTTATCCATCATGCGGAAGATCTTGCGCACGCGCTTCTCCGGTGTATCCTCGTCCTCGGGAAGTTTCACCATCGAGCCCACCTGTGATGCAGAGAAGGGGGTCAGCCGGCGTGGGGGCCAGAAAATGGAACGGCGACTAGGCGCACAGCACTTACCATCTTGTAGATCGCCTCAACGATCGCCAGCATTTCGTCATACGTGATCTTGCCATCACCATCAATGTCATACAATTGGAAGGCCCAGTCCAGCTTGTCCTCCATCTTGCCGCGCGACGTGACCGATAAGGCGCAGATGAATTCTTTGAAATCGATCATGCCGCTATTATCCGAGTCGAACACGCGGAACACATAATTTGCGAATGATGACGGGTCGCCAAAAGGGAAAAACTGCCGGTAGATTTTCTGAAATTCCTCTTTGGTGAGTGTCCCCGACGGACAGTCCTTCAAGAATCCTGCCCCGCAGCGATTCGTCAGCGGCTGCTTTCACAACGAGGGAAGGAAAAATTGCCGGGGGAACCCGGTCGGAAGCCCATGATATGTCTCTCACACACCTTTATACCATTGTTGCAATTCCTTCTTATCGAAATGCGTGGCTTTTTGGAGTTCCTCCAGCTGGGAGGGGGAGAGCTTCGACTGCCTGAAAGACCGGTGAATACATTAGTTTGATGCGGACAAGCGGGGCACACGAGGTCCGGGGTAGCAGGGGTACTTCTGAGGGAGGGACTCAAGAGGGCACCAGCGAGGCAATATGGACAAGCATCGAACAACTCCCATCAGGGACTGTATTACTTCGCAGCGCAGTCACTATCGCTAGAGTGCGACCATCCATGGGTGCCCGTTGTCCCCTGACCGAAGCGGTTCCCTTGTTGTTCCTGGCCAGACCCATGCGGAGCGATCGGAAAAGCGCAACACTTACGACTTGCCCATCTTCGAATCACACACGCTCCAAGCGCTCGGTTCTAATGTAGGATGTCTTTGAGATAGAAAAGAAATCGCTAGGTTCGATGTATCACAGTAAGGACGCGCGATGAAACAGGGTCTCGGAAGGCGCGGGGTAGACGAAAGTTTGGGTTGGATTGATAAGAGCGTGCGCTGCTTGGCCGAGGGGCAGAAGAAAGGGCGGTCGATCGGGGGGTGAACCAGCACGGCTGACAAGGTATTGAAATGCTAGGTCGGGGGGTAAAGTGCAGATCAAAAGCTGAGACAGCGGAAAACGGAGAGAAAGAAAGGCGTCGTGGTGATGGCAGAGGAAGAATCGGGGATGCTGGAAGAGCCGCGGGTCCAGAACACGGCGGCTTGGCGGCTTCACTTTGTGACGAGGTTTGAAGCGTAAGCGGTTTGAGATCCACGGCTCCTACTCGCTCGTCTACCAATTGTTCCCCTCCACCTTCCCGTCCCCCTGCTTCTTCTACCTTCTTCTACGTCGGCCTAGAGCGGTCGAGGCAACTCCGAACTACGTTCACGCTTCCTGCATCCGTATGCGGGGCCCGTATCGTACATTCAATCGTGCGCGTCCAGCATTTCTAATCCTGCCAACGGGCGTCGCCTGCCGAACGCCCGTCCGTCTTTCCCGACTTCTCTATGTACACATCATGACCATTACAAGCGCGAATGAAGCAAAGAACCAAAACCAACGGATGCGAAATCCGAACACAATCTTACATGGGATATCCTAGCCCAGCACCCATCCAGAACGATTCCAAGCGAATTTTACGATGTATATATCGCAAAAGCACATTTGCATGAAGCATCCCCGCGATCACCGCGCGTGCTGAGTCGCTGCGGATTTCCCTCCTGCGATAATACCGGATGAGATTTCGGCATTTGGTCTACGACTCTGGGGGCGGGCCGCGCCGCGATGAGCGATCGCTCATGTCAGAATCCTTGAACAGCTTAATCGACTTTGATGGAGCCGTAGATACGCTGCACGAACGCCCAGCTGGCGAAAAATCCAATGGATCCTAGTCATAGGGTTAGTGGAATAAGTCTTCTCGGGCTCACAATGGTTCTTACCTGTCAGAATGAAGACGATAAATCCGATGAGAGCGGAGTAGCCGACATACAACACCGCGCCGGTGAGACCACCAAAGCTGACCCGGGTGATCCAAAACAGAAGTGCGTTCAGGAATACATACCCACCGGTCATTCCCGCACCGGCAAACGCCCGCCAGTGCCACCGGTAGTTTTCAGCGCACAGCAAGAAGTACACCAGCAGCACAGTCGTGGCAGCAGATGTGATAACCATCAGCCCGTAGCAGAGGAACAAGAAACCGAACATGTAGTAGATCTTGTTTGTCCACAGCGAGGTCATGATAAAGTAGAGCTCCACGAAAATCGCCCCGAAGGGAAGGATACCGGTCAACAGCAGAGAGGGAACAGTACGCAGCGTTCCCGTCATCGGAGGAACCTGGCGGGGGATCTGGTTGGTCTTAGTGGGACCTTCGATAGCCTACAAGCAGTTAGCAACCATCATAGCAATTTCGGAGGCATGCGACGTACACGTTGCTTAAATCCCAGCCAGCTTCCCGCAACACTTAGCGGCACGCTGATCACGAACCAGATCAGGACCAGGGCAAGCATAGTGCCGAAGGGCACAGCACCACTTGATCCCTTAGCCCAAACGAACAGGTTCAGAAGGAAGAACACGCCGAAAATAAGTGCGGGAACCAGCACTGGAGTCATAATAATGTTGCGTTTCCAGGCATCGCCGCCCAGCGATTTGTAGACTCGGGCCGATACGTAGCCGCCAATGAAGCCGAAAAGCGTATATATCAGAAGGATTGCAGTGGCCAGGAAGCCACGGTTCGCGGGGGAGAGAAGTCCAAAGAGAGCAAAAACTATGGCTATTAGCATGAAACCTTTCTGTTTAAGCGGCCAGGCAACCTACCAACAGTCACCCCCGTCATCATGAAAAGTTGAGCTCCGTTACCGACAAGCACACTCAGAAGCAGCGGGGACTTGGGGCACCGGAACACATCTCCGTGCACTAGCTTCCAGCCTGAATCCTCCTGAATACCGTCTTCCACCGCCGCGGACGTGCTGTCAAAGTCGTCCAGGTTGATCATGTCCAGACGGTTGTACCGGGCGATATCTTTCTTCAGAGCCCTAACCAAGATCATGCTCACCATCGCGACCAGGAAGACCACGAACACGGCCGAGTTTATCAAGGAGAACCAATGAATCTTCGGATCATAGACATGAAGATATTTGTCCCAACGAGTGGCCCATGCGGTGGGCGACTCACGCCAGTACACACTGTATGTCCATGTCACCGCAGTCTCGCCCTCCTCGCTCAAGGTGATGCCGACACCGTCGCCATCGCACTGGGCGGTACCATCATCCGAGACCATGGAGTTGCGCCGGGACTCCGGCTGCACGAGCACGCCAACAACACGGTACTTGTCCTGATTTCCATAGCCGACACGGTGGTACTCGATCAGGATTTCGAAGTGGTTGTTCAAGACCGGCTGTCCCTCATCGTTGATCGATCCCAAAGCGAACCCGGGGCTGTAGAACTTGGTCTGCGTCACGGCCTCCATGTTAATCTGCGCCCCAGGAAGACCATCTACCAGCCAGTTGATGTTGTATCCTTGTTGGATTCGACGGTTGACGAACTTGGCGCTGCGGGCATCGAACGATGCCGGGCCGCAGACAGCCTTACAGGTCTCGTTCTTGCCCATGTGCAGCTCGAAAGGCGACGTCTGGATGCGGTCTCCGAACAGGATGCTTCCCAGTGACTCGCGTACATCCTTGGGACCTTCGGGGGGTGTACAGAAATGAAACGCCGGGTGATAGTAGTCATAGGAGAAGACGGAATGGAGCTGTTCATCCTGCTGCGCTAGGCCGGGCGTAAGATGGTTGACATAGAGTGGTACCGATTGACCTTCATCGTAGGAGGTAGGCGCTACTCCGGGAAGATAAAAAGCGGCGGATAATGATGGAGCAGTGAGTAGGAGGGCAGCGATGGGCGAGGAACGTTTGTTGAACCACATGGTGGGTATCTCTATTCCAGCGCGGTATTAGTTAGTTCTTGTCGGTCGCTGGCGGATGTCCCTGGGGTTCGGCTGGACCCAAGCTCCAGTGGCATACATACAGGCTACAGCTTCCACGCCACAAGCGATTTTCAAGCTCGCATGGGTTGGGGGTGGTCTGGGTAGTAACCACCTGCTTGAGATGGAGACCAGGGATTCTTAACGAGGAATTGAACCGAAACCGGGCTCTTCGCTGAGAAGAGAACGCCTTGCCCGGATGCATTGAGGCCAGCTCGCGCACTTGGCCGCACGTGAACCTCGTATGTCTGACTAAGCCAGAGCCTATCGACACGTGCCGATAAGCGGTCTCTAAAAATTTCCCTCTCCATCTCGGCGACGGACAACTCAACAGACAGTCAGAGACAGCACAGCACACAATGGCGGCAGCCGTATCCCAGTCAGAGCCTTCTGGCTCGCAGAATATCTCGGCTCTGCTCGAGACCCTCACCACGTGTCTCAACAGCACCGGATCATCGCTCCCTAAGACGAAGCGGGATGCGCCATCAGATGTGTCGATCGAACCGCCGCAAGATGGCATTTCGCTACTTGATACCAAGTCAGATCTCCTCCTTTCCTACATGCAGAACCTCGTATTCTTGGTCATATTCCAGTTGAGGGGTCTCAAGTCATCCGCGGACAAGGACGCCGAAACGAACGACTCGCTTCCGGACGATATCGTAAAGAAACTCGTTGAACTACGTGTCTACTTGGATCGCGGTGTCCGGCCTTTGGAAGGACGGCTGAAATACCAGGTTGACAAGGTTATCAAGGCTGCAGAGGATGCGGAGCGGGCTGAGCGCGGGGCCGCAGCCCCCAAGAAGAGCAAGAAGGCTAAGAAGTCCGCTCGCGACGAGGAGTCTGGCTCCGACGAAGGTAGCAGCGACAGCGAGGGAGACAGTGAGGAGGACGAGGAGGATGAGGATGAGGAGGAGGATATAGATGAGATGGCATTCCGGCCTAACGTGTCTGCCTTTTCCAAGAAGGTCGAGCCTGAGGCCAAGCAGGATAAGGCGACCGCGAGAGCGACAAGCGACGGCATCTACCGACCACCTCGCATCATGCCCACAGCCCTACCGACTACCGAAACCCGGGAGCGCAGGGAACGCCCGCAACGCAGGTCCAATGTCATTGATGAATTCGTTAGCGCCGAGATGTCATCCGCACCTATGGCCGAGCCCAGTATCGGGAGTACGATCGTACGTGGTGGACGACAGACGAAGTCTAAGAAGGATCGCGAGCGTGAGGCTGAGCGGACGAGATATGAAGAAACCAACTTCGTGCGTCTGGCGAAGGAGAGCAAGAAGGATCGGGCCAAACGTCTGCGTGCTGAGGGTCCGCGAGGCACCTTTGGCGGGGAGGAATGGCGTGGTCTTACTGAGGGAGCAGACCGGATCACAAAGCTCACCCGGAGAGCCCAAGGAAGCGGCTCAGCGCTGGATCGGAGTCGGAAGCGCAAAAATGAAGACGGACAGCGCGATGATGGGATGGGAGTGGGACAGATCTTCGAGAAGCGTCGCAAGAAGGTGGACAGCTGGAAGCGGTGATCGACTTGTATACATACTTTTTTCACTTTTACGATGCATCGTTGATATTCCTTTCTTCTCAGCGCTCTATACACATTGAATTGTTTGGATGTGACCAACCTGGGCTGATCACTGAGCATAAAGCAGCCCGACTGTACTGGACGCTCTTATGGCCAGAGTGATTTGCGATACCACAAAAGTTAATTTCACTATCACATCTTTTGCAGTGATGCAACTATTTATCTGATGTAGGATAAGAACCTTACCAACAGGCACCAGGCACATCTCGCTAGTTGGCCGACCTTGAGTCCAGTAAACCAACCGTCGCATCCGGCCTTTGCGACGCCCGCATGCATGACATCATCCCGATTCAACTAGATAACTATTCCAGCTTTCCCCTCCAACTTCAATTCATGTGTCTGTATCTACTGTAAATATCCATATTAATTGTCTATCAGCTCGATCAACTTCATCGATTTTATCTCTCCCAATAATTCCCACCAAAACAATCCCAAAATGGAAGATCCAGGTGCGTCCTTTTCACCCATTCACATGGCCCCGTACCTGTACAACCTCACCACCACCATCACCCGTTTAAGACTAATCTAGATAAGCATCACAGCATCTGAGATCACCCCTATAATCCATCATCTCACGCAAGCCCCGCCAGATGACCAACAACGCACCATCCAGAAATACTTCACTCCCAGCGCAGCCTTCATCCATCCCTTTTGTCGTGTCTGGCCCTACCCAGGAAGTCGCTGGTTCATCGAGAAGATCTACCAATGGTATAAGATCATGTCGCCGCGAATTGATCTGGAGGTGCATTCCGTAGGTAGGTGATCATACTTCATCCACCTTTAAAATTTATTTCTCAAGGAATCGCCAAAGGAGTTGCTGACATTTGAAATCTATCGAATAGCATACGATAAACCCAACCAAAAGCTCTACCTCCAAATTTCCCAGCTCTTCTCCATTTGGGCGATACCCTTCCACCATGCCCATGTACATCTGACCACGGTCCTGGACCTCACCACGGACAGCGAAGATAACCGTACACCGAGGACAGGGTCCGGCAAACGGTACTACATCAAGCAGCAGGAGGACTTTTATCAGACGTCGGAGTTCGTCAAGTTTGTGGCGCCGTGGGGAGGCGGCTTGCTGGTTACTATTTGGCAGTTGCTGGCGACGGTGTTTTGTGTATTTGGGGTGGTGCTGCTTTGGCCGGTGTTGTGGTTAGAGGAGAAGCGGTTGGTGGGGAATGGAAAGAAATGAGATGATATGTGTGAGACGAGGTACATTGGATTATACGGAGTTTTGGTGTATATATCTGGATATATGAGGATACGTGACGTATATGTAATATTGGTCCTAACAGGGTTGAGTTCCTCCACGTGCGTGTTAAAATACCCGCTTCTAGGAGCATCGGGGTATTCTAGCTCTGTGCTCCTGTAACCCTGTGAAAGGTTCTTAAGAACGGAGTAAATAGGGCTCCATTCGATTAATGATATTCATAATTCGCTATGATTGGATTGAATTGAATCTGATATACCGGTTATGGTCTGTTTGGTGGGCAATTGTATCTTGCTTGATGCCGTTGGTAGTAGCATGTCCAGGAAATCCTGATATGACACTATGCCCTGCTACCGATGTCATAATATAGATCCAAGACAGCACTTACACATCTTCAGCCACTACAATCTATATCTTTTCAGAGGCTGTAGATACAGTACACAACCTTTTCATCATTCAGCACGCATCTCGCCAGGCACTGACCCGAAAGGCGCAACGAATGCAGCAGAGATATGTGGCTCAAGTTCAACCAACTCTAGTTAGTGCAAGTAAACAAAAAAAAAAAATCAGTCGCTCCTTTAGCTACCTACCTACCAATGACTACTCATAGTAGCAATGCGACCGACAAAAGGCAAAAAGATGGTCCCAGAGGGGCTCGAACCCTCGACTTTGACGTTATTAGCGTCACGCTCTAACCAACTGAGCTATGGGACCCGCTTGTTGTTTCGTCGGCTGATGTGGGACTACATGAGGGGTGCAGCATCTCGCATAAGAAAGTGTGAAGTAAAATGCAGGTTAGGTGTGAACAAATCTTGTGGGTTGGATGAAAGGAGGCATGTTGGGCGATTGATCCGTTCCCCTACTCTCCGGTTTTAGAGAATCCTAGATGTTTCAGTACATGGGATATGCATAGAACCATTAGCCAAGCTCAAGAGCTGTTGGCGTGTTGTTAACCTTGTGCAATGGCGCTAGTCATCTGCTGGACGGTCTCCGTTGACGGAATTATTATCCGGTCATTCATGTTGAGCGAGGGGACAGGACTAATTAAGACGTGTGGATACATCAACCCAAAGAGACCAAGAAACTCTAGACTTCAATAAGTAGATAGTGACAGCCAATCTCGATTGTTCTATGGAGCTTGCAGCTACCCACATTTGAAGCCACACAATATGCAAGGTGAGAGACATCCCATGACAAAAGCTGTAATACACCGTCTCTCATGTCCCCACCAAGGTCCATTCTCCTAGGGCCACTGCATTACGCGAATTTTAAAGCACTAGATAGACAGCATAATCATATGCACAATGCTCTATACCGCTATAAAAATAAGACCGACTGTGGAGATATCAATTCAACTATATTGCTAAACCAATTGAGTAGAATTCCTGGGCAGACCGCAAGGTTTAGTTTTGGCTTATATTTGTTAAAGTAAAGCGGGTATATATCAACTGGGTCCCATAGCTCAGTTGGTTAGAGCGTGACGCTAATAACGTCAAAGTCGAGGGTTCGAGCCCCTCTGGGACCATCTTTTTGCATCAATGGAAATCCATTGCAGTATGCTCTGGGTAGCCTTCTTGGAACTCTTTTTGGAACACCGCCTAGTAACATCCGGGTGGGGTAGTGTGCAAGATGATGTGGTTAACAAGGATGTTATTTTTCACCCTTCTTATCTACCCTACGTTGTTCGTCAGGAATATACGGCTTGGTACATTGCTATATCATGAATAGAAGGCAAGGCCGATTTTCACTGCAGGATACATTTTGTCACAGTACAAGGGGCAAGAGTGTGACAGCCATCGTGTGGGAATATATACCGATGGAGCACGAGTAGTATGGCTGTGTTAATAGGCCAGTGCAGTGCGCAATGCAATCAACTAGTCCATTACACATAGCTCCGATGTAAACACCCAGCATTACAATCGATGAGCAGTTGACTGACTGAGATCAATCTTATACACAATGTGACAGGACGAATGAGAAAGGCAACACTAAGGTTTGGAAGATGAGTCCAAAGTGCGGAGATCGATAGGCAGTGTTTCAAGCCACCCTATACAATATCCAAGACAGACATACCTACTCAAAGGGTGAACGGATCATTTGGTTCATATTAGCCAAGCGAAGAAGCTAAATAGTAACTTCCAAATCAGCCCCGAAGAGGACTAGTAGACCCGGTGAGATAGCAGTGTGTAGTTCCTCGTTTTGTCGCCATGCCATAAAACTCATGGTCAGCTAGCTGAGTACTCGGTCACGGCGGAGAGAAAGATGAAGACTATACAGTGGCCATCCCTGGGATAGTGTCAATTTCCCGGCATGTGATCAGAAGAGGTACGGTGGTGGAGATATACTTTGCACATCATACAGTTTAGTTCAGGTCAAGACTATGGAGTTCCGCCCTCATCCTGGTAAATAGAAAACACCATGAAGTACAATAGAACTATACTGCCGTAAACCACAAGACCGAGCAAAAGAACAATAGGAATTCTCGGACAGTATCCGAGCACCACCCATACATAGACCTAATATGAGTTCCATCTCATCCAATAGTATCATCATCTACCCCACCCAATTGCCATAGACGTCAGCATACGCAGGTCCAGACTTACGGAAATGCCACATAACTTCCTCCTTAGTTTGCAAGTCCTCCAGAATTATCTTCTACGAGGAAAGTGTCAGTAACTCGTCGAAGGATCCCGCCACCGTACTTGCACTCCGTATCCAGCAATTCTAACATATTAAAACTAAGCTATGGCTCATAAGGCATGAAAATTTTGCAACATACAACAACTGGTCCCATAGCTCAGTTGGTTAGAGCGTGACGCTAATAACGTCAAAGTCGAGGGTTCGAGCCCCTCTGGGACCATCTCTTTTTGCTTTTTTGCCTAACCACATTTGCGGTGTGTTCCGCGTCTATGTTCGGACTATCTTAATGTCCGCTCAACGCAGATGCTTGCGTGGACGATGTCTATCATGTCATATGCTTTTTTTATGCCCTTCGGTCCATGTTTATGCTCGGAGGCAGCCAGGGGACACCCGCTAGAGCAGACATGGGAGAGATTAGGATCATCCGACAAGGACCTGCCAAATCCGGCGTGTTGCCTAAATTAAGCCGAGCAGGTGGACCAGCACATGTGATTTTCCAGAGCATCCGGACAGGGATGATGGCGGTGCTAAATCGTGGACGTTTTCCAACAGGGCTTAGACAGGCGGGTCACACCAATCACACTCCATAAACTTGACATCACGCCGGTCAGGGTCTGGCTTTTAGTGTGGCTGGTGCTGCACTGCTGCCCCGCTCGTACTGTCCAATTATAACCAATGGCGGCCGACAATCCCGTTGTCGTCATCCGTGGACCGGCCATCCACAGCCCTGGAAAGCATCCAGGAAATGGCCGTCCCTATCCACTGATCGGCTGGCTGCGACGCCTGCATGGCTATTTTGCTGCCTTCGCTCCAACAAACTCTGTCGAGTCTCCCTCCGCTTTATATCACGGGAGACCCTGCCCTAAGCCTTACGGTTTCTCACCAATCTTCTGGTCTAATACCCCAGTGAATCCATCTGCCTAATCCGCTTACACCAAACCCTATACTTCCTGGGTTCTCAACTATACGAGTTAGTCGCTTTTATATACATACTAAGCCCGTTGTATCAGACTGCCCCAATATGGGCTTCGGCGGCGTTCTTTTGCGCGCTTCCAACCTCTCCATCCGTGTTCTCCAATTCCTCGCCGCAGCTGTCATTCTCGGCATCTTTTCCTACTTTCTTGCTGTCCTTTCTCGACATGACCAGGATATCCCGCGCTGGATGAAAGCCGTCGAGGGTCTGTCCGGCGCTGCGACCCTCTATGGCATCCTCGGTATCCTATTCACTTGCTGCCTTGGCGGCGTCGCCTTCTTCGCCTTCCTCGCCATCGTCCTCGATGTCTGCTTCATCGGTGCTATGGTCGCCATTGCTATCATGACCCGTCATGGCACGCAAAGCTGCTCTGGTCGCGTGACCACCCCTCTCGGGTCTGGTAATAGCAGTGATGACTCACCGTCAGGGACAAGCTATGGCTACGCCTGCGAACTGGAGAAAGCCTCCTTTGCGGTGTCCATTATTGGGATGTAGGTTCCTTCCTTCACCTACCCAGACCCTTCCTTCCTTGGCCGATCTTAAGGGCAACTAATGTAAAACTTTATGTGATGCTAACAGCCCGTGTACAGCGTCTTCTTCCTGATCTCAATTCTTCTTCAAGTCCTCTACGCCCGATATCACAAGCGCGAGAAGCGCTTTGGCCCCTCCCCCGCAAACGGCTACACCTCCGGCACTACCCGGGGCTTCGCTTTCTGGAGAAGAAACAAGAACAACCCCGACACTGCTAGTGCTGATGACATGCTGCCTTCGCATCCATTGCCCAGGGATGTGGAGCTTGGTGCGAACGGCACAACGGCAGCAGAGAAGGAAGATGGCTTGAATGGTACCAATGTCGGCGCTACTACCGGCAGTGGTGGATATATGCCGTGGAGAAGCAATGTGAATGGTGGTACTACCACTGCGGGACAGACTGGGACTTACGGATATGGAAATTCGGCATATACGGGGAATTATTAAAGGGTGAGATGCAAGGGGTGCTAGGAGGTATGTGGTATGTACAGACATACCAGGCATGACACAGAGGGGTGTGATGACCTCCCCCAAATGTGGCAGTCGCGGAGAAAGTGACGAATAATGAATTGACTCGACTAAAAGATACCATGGTTTTTTTTTTTGGGTTGCTGGATGGAGTGGTTTGATATTGCAAAGTACATACTGTTTTGGTTCATATTTGTGATAAACACTACAAAGGATTTGGCTATAGCTGTGGGTACTGAATCTGTTGCACCTGACAATAGATGTAATAATCGTTAAACCTGTGCCATGTGATATGACCTCGTAAAGAACATGTATGACTCTTCAATGTGCTACGGAGTAGAGCTCTGCTTATCTCCACCTGTCAAATGACTCTCATCGATCCAGACCCTGACTCAGTTGACGGCCTCAAGGAACAGGCAGAGCAAGATCCTGACTAAGAGTGGTTGAAACCGAGACTAACCCGATTAGGCACGCGCGACTGCAGGAACCAGCGCCGAAGCGGGACTAGCGCCGATCGCGTTTGGCCATCGGGGCTCTCGCTCTTCCTCTTGCATCATCTCGACGCCTTCATCTGTCCATTCGAACATCCCTTCCCACCCTGCACTCAGCAGGATGATGCGTCGTGGTCACTGTTCCTAGTTTCTGCTTTGTTTTCTGACAGTACGAGTCTGAAACCTTCTGCTGGATGTCTTTGTGGATCTTGCTGCCCAGGCAGAGGTTCCATTACGCTCTCCTTCCAGTCCAATATGCCGGCCACTACCATGGCCCCCCGAATTCTGGCTCCCAGCTCGGCCAGGTTCGCCACCCAATTTCCATACGAATGATCTCTAAGCTCGCAGTGGCGAACCAACTCAATTTTGTTGCGCCAATCCACATTTCCTGTCCCTCTTTAGCTACGGTGTGTCGCAGACATATATCCAGTCGTGTTATCACACATCCCTGTCGATCGTCTAGGCCCGTGACGGCATCTGCTCAAACCTTCGTCTCCCCAAGGTTACTTCCAGCAGTTTCACGCGCTGCCTCCAACGACACCCTGCCCACAATGGCAGATGATGAAGTCATGCGAAATGGGGTTGATGGCAGTCCCAACAATGAGGTACAAAATGCCGATCCTAAAGGTACTCTGGATGCCAGTGACTTAGGAAAAGGTTCACCCATGGATCCAGAGTCAGACGAAGATGTACCAGTTGAGGCAGAGGAGCTTCAGGACGCTCTCACACGGGCGCCGCCGGTCAACAGCAGCTACCTACCCCTCCCTTGGAAGGGACGACTAGGTTATGTAAGTTTGCATCATCATTCTTTCAAACCAATCCTTATGCTGTATAGGCATGTCTGAATACGTATCTACGATATGCGACCCCGCCCGTTTTCTGCTCCCGGACTTGCCGCATTGCCTCCATCCTGGAAAACAGACATCCACTCTCGGATCCTTCGCAGCCCCCTCATCCGACCAAAAACCGTCCTGATCGTGATCAGCCCGCTGATGTCGCGCGCGGTCAGGCGTATGTTGAGGCTATAGGCCTCACCAATGCTCGCGATCTCGTCAAAATGCTGCGCTGGAATGACCGCTACGGAATCAAGTTCATGCGATTGAGCAGCGAGATGTTTCCATTTGCGAGCCACAAGGAGTACGGCTACAAGTTGGCTCCCTTTGCCTCTGAAGTACTGGCAGAAGCTGGTCGTGTCGTTGCCGAGCTCGGTCATCGCGTGAGCGTTCATCCCGGTCAATTCACGCAACTGGGCTCTCCTAAGGACGAAGTAGTGGAAAGCTCCATTCGAGATCTGGAATACCACTCGGAAATGCTCCAGTTGCTCCAGCTGCCACCTCAACAGGATAGGGATGCTGTTATGATTCTGCACATGGGCGGCGTCTTTGGTGACAAAGAAGCCACTCTTGACCGGTTTAGAGAGAATTATCGAGGCCTATCGCAGGACATCAAAAATCGGCTTGTCTTGGAGAACGACGATGTCAGCTGGTCGGTTCACGACCTCCTGCCCATTTGTGAAGAACTGAACATACCCCTGGTACTCGACTTCCACCACCACAATATCATCTTTGATTCGAGCCAGCTCCGCGAGGGCACACTGGACATCATGTCCTTGTTTGATCGGATCAAGGCGACATGGACCCGGAAGGGCATCACGCAGAAGATGCACTATTCTGAGCCAGAACCATCTGCCATCACAAACCGCCAACGTCGGAAGCATAGCCCCCGGGTCTCCACTCTTCCACCGTGCGATCCCACCATGGATCTGATGATCGAGGCCAAGGACAAGGAGCAAGCTGTTTTCGAATTGATGCGGACATTTAAGCTGCCGGGTCACGAACTTGTCAACGATATCATTCCTCACGTGCGTAATGACGAAAACAGGCCACATAAGCCGCCGAGGAAGACCAAGAAGAACGGGGGTTTTGTGGATCTGGAGGGACTGGTCCCACCTCCTCAGACTGTCCCTGAAGAAGAAGTGGGCATGGGTGGTCCGGAGGGACGGGTCTACTGGCCTCCTGGCATGGAGGAATGGCTTCGACCGAAGAAGATTGTTCGCACCAAAGCCATCCAGAGCCCTCGCCGCACTCCTTCCACGAAGAAAGTAGCGGTCGAAAATGGCGATTCTGTACCACAGGAAGAACCGGATGGAAGCGCGCTAGCTACGCCGGTGTCAAAGAAGAAGACACCTAATGTAAAGAAACCGGTCTCCAGGAAGCGGAAAGCTTCTCCGGCGACTACACCGTCAGCTTCAGATGAAGAAGCACCCGAAATCCCAGAGAGGCCGACTCTTAAGCGATCCCAGAGCAGTGGTGTTCGTCGAAGCCGACGAGCAAAGAAGGTGGACTACGCCGAAGATGAAGACTCGGTCTGATCAAAGAAAGTACCATTGCTCTTGGCTACAACTGCGCATTTCTGTGGGTACATTGGTCAATTCTCCTCGGCGACTGATCGTCCTATTCCAGCTCTGCTTTCTGAGACAGCGCATGCAATAGCAGAGCACTTCGACTGCCTCAGGTAGACCTCAGTATGGTCCTTGCATATGACGGCTTTCTGCCAGTGCTGGTTGGCTTAGACAGCCGTCGACACAGCTCGGTGACATATGCTCATATATAATACCTCTGTCGATAGACTAGTTGTATGTACACCTTGGGATATATAGATAGACGGGGTTTGGAATACTGCATGTTGGCTCGGGTTGCCTACTATCTGCATAATATGATGCGATCTGTGAATATATTGGCTGGATCGAAGCGAAGTAATCATGCTTCTGGCAAATGTCGACAGTGTCAGGACCTTTCCCTACTAGGTGCGTTTTTAATGACAGAGTCCCTGCCTGCCAGCTACACACCGGGCAGAAAACTAGATTTTGAGCCACTAGGCTCGACACGCATCCCTTACAAGCTTGCTTTCCCCAGCAGCTCCTTCCGCGGGATCTCCCCCAGGGTGCGGTCACGGATAGTGAAGCTAAACACAACGGAGTAGAACCCCAGCCAAACACACCGACTACCCATGAACCAGACAACGCCTTCAACTGGCAGCCACAACCCAACAAAACTCCGATAATATTCATTAGCACGCATAAATTATCCTATATGGTAAATCCATTCACGCATGAGATGTAAAGAAAAAGCAAAAAGAAATGGTCCCAGAGGGGCTCGAACCCTCGACTTTGACGTTATTAGCGTCACGCTCTAACCAACTGAGCTATGGGACCCGGTTGATGTAGGCTGCCTTATATTAGTGCTACATAAGATCCAGCTGTTACTGACAGCTCAGCAGACCCATTGCGGTGCGTGTCAATCACTCTTGCAGTAATTGATTCTAAGGGGATTCTTCAAAGAATCTAATAGTAAGCTCTTTACCTAGATGTTTGCTCTTTGTCTTGTTGACGTTCCACGGTGTGGCGAATATTGTCTAGTGCCAGCCTCAGCCTAGTAGTTTAGGTGGAATATATTTATATTACCGTACTGCCTTCGACGCTTGCATCTTGTTATGGTCACGGACTGCAATCGTAGACACGCCATAGTGGTTAACATCCAAGTTATCACTACCAGTGACCAATGAGCTGCCACGGCTTGAGACTCGAATTCAGTCCAGAATCAAAGGTACAATATCCTCACCAAAAATCGAATCGAAAGTCACCTTGCTCAATCTAATCTGAAAGAGAACGCACCATTCAAGCACACCTGCCAGCCTGTTTCCAGAGAAACAACGATAGCCATCTGTTAATCATGGGTGTATGCAACTGTACATGGAGCCCAGATAATCTGATGTCTGATTAATAAGGTTGGAAAATCATTAATTGCACATAACTTGAAATTCAACATCACAATCCTGCTTTCAGGTCATGAAGATAGATGCCGGAAATGACGGGCAGAGGGCCCAATGGTATCTCGATGATCATGTCACAGGACATGGCTACGTGTTATTGACACATCAAACGCTGGAGTTGTGAAAAGCAGAAAAATACGAAGGAAGAAGATAGGATAGAAACATGCAGCTAACTGGCTCAGCACTCGCAGCAGCCGATTATAACCGTTTCTATAATGTTATGTATATCACAACAAATCCATTTATGTTGCTTACATATAGGCTCTATGTTGCTTCGCGAGTTGTGATTTCTATGAAACTTGATACCAATCATAGGTCAGGATAGTGCTTCAGATAGTGAGGTACCTGAGAATATAGAAATGACAGTAGCAGGTTCGATCAGACCAGAGACTATGGAAGTAGATGTACGTCCAATAATACCCAGAAGAATTAGAATAACATAAAGGGTACTGAAGTAGACTGATCCTTGATAGACTAGTCGCACTTACCAAACCCCCTCCTTCTTTCCCTTCTTAGTACTCCAGAGCATGCAAACGCTCGCAGGATGTGACAACAAACCAAGGCTTGACCGATACTCAGCTGAGCTCCCTAAGATGTCTTCTCCCACTAAACAGGATATTTATATTGGGGGTCAGGGGGGTGTTTGGTTGTCAGAGGAATGGTGTAGTTGCATAAACCGAAGGAATGAATTAGGATGGACCGAGTGTGGATAAGGCTACTCCGAGTATTCATGTAATCGGCTATATCTAAGATATTTATCAAGATGGTAGTGGTAAGAGCACCAAGAGCAGACATGTAGCCAAAACATAGCCAGGGACTTCTGCCACCGCTTTAGGTAAATTTCTCGATAACATATCATGTCACCGCATTTGATCAATGGGGGACTGATGGGAAATTACCTGGAGAGAGAGAGGAGGGGTGAGAGCTAGATATGATTTGGAGACTATAGTAACTTATAAAATCAATTCTTCAATGCTGATGGTGGGTTGGTTGACTTCAAGTAGCGAGTGCCATGGGGTGGCCATGAGTTGCGAGATCTGCTGTCTTAAAAAAGAGCAGGTCAGAACCAAATGGCCTCCTTTAACACCCATACTACTGATTAGTGGTAGCCATTTCCCTAGATTTCTCGAAGCTGGAGGATACAAGTTCACCTAGTGCTGTCAAGCGATTTCTGAGACAAATGTCCAGAAGTATATCGCGATGAGTAACTAGTTATCTACTGTGATGACTCAGACTTAGTATTAGGTTTTCGACAAGCGAGCACGAACCGACTAGAAGTTAGGTACGATCACACCGTTTGGTGCTGGTACAAAGCAGGTAACTGGGAATTAGGTCAATGATAAGGCAGACATAGCATTCTTTTGATCCAATGAGCAGTAAGTATAGTAATCAGAGTAGTAAGCAGCGGCGCATACATAGCCATTCAAGCATATCAGACTTTTGGATGGTGCGACTGAATTCAGCCTCAAGCACATGGCGTACTCGCTCCATCTGCAGGCAGATCTGACACATGTGCTTGATACCTTGTGCAGCCGAGGTTCTTCAGCAGGAGACGATGCTAGGCCCTGACAAGGCAGGACAGGGTACAATGCACGAGCTCGACCATGGGGGCCACGTGGGAAAGCTAGGAAGAAGGCGAAATCGAGAAACGAGTGCGAAGAACGTGTGGGGGCCGCGGGGGGATCTGTCAGCCCTAACTTCCTAGTTCGGCATCTTGCGCTTAGCCACGCCGCCAGCAGGATATCGCGTCACCTTTTCGCCCCATGTTGAAACGTTTTGGCCCCAATCGGGCAAGCAGTGCCCCAGGGACCAGTGATTCCTCGGTTGCTAGGGAGATTCAGAGCTCGTTAGCGAGTGGCGGAGGCGACTAACGGTCAGTCCGGCTTCGATTTCCGACAGGACTGCCTCTGTACGTTTAATTCAGGCCAAGCGGCCATCTTAGTGGTGTGATCGCCTAACTGCGCAGAGAAGAAGATTTTTCATATGCACGCTAGATGGTCTTGCAAGGTCTGACGGCTCCATTGCTGCCATTTCTGGTAAAAGCTCCATCTCACGAAATGCGCAGCTTTCCCGGTAGCCTATGCCGAAAGCAGATAGAGACGATGATGGTGTCTTTCGCTTGACCAATTGCCCTCGACGAAAACCGCACGGCGATGAGAATATAGATCGATGGTGGCGGTGGAGAGAACCGTGCGCGCATCGTCAGGACATCCAGCGAAAAGATCAAGGGCCAGCCTCCTGACTGTAGAGCTATTGCGAGGAAGGAAAGCACACGAAAGCAGTTCCTATTTCCCAGAAGGTCAGTTCGTTTAGTAGTGCCATCTTCCTGGGAGATTCCAGATCCAAGAACTCGGCTTGCCCGGTCGCAGATGCCCGCTTACCCTCGTCCAGAAGAATCGTGTGGTTAGTGGGGGCCGATTGTTGTGCATCTCCCCACAGAGCAATGGAATCCTGGAAGTATGTCCTAGGATGAGGCTCCTTCCATCATCGGCAGTGAGCTACACCTAATATTAGCCCCTGATAGGCACTGTTACTCTAGAGTGCAATTTAAGTGATCGTGTATTCTTATCGATCGTAGGATAGTAACCAGTTTCTGGGCCAGAAGGTCTCTAGCACCGGTAGTGGAACTTCTAGAACGAATGCTCAAGGAGTTAGCCTATATTTATCGGCCAATTAAATTTCTCTTTGTACCTGCCAACACCGCAAAGCTTTGAAGCACAATGTTGTTGTGATGCGGAGATGAAACGGGTAACAGCACATAAAGAGCAGAAAGGTCATACGAGGTTGTAAGAGAATTGAAGAAGGGCATGAAAGACACTGCTGATGCCCTAGCGACCATGCAGGTCGATGCCGACCCCAATATCTTGCATATGCAAAACGCGGGGAAGCAGGGACCAACGACATCTGTATGCTGGTATTGTATGGGTGGCAGACAGGCGCATCAGAGATGACTGTGTAGACTAAGTAATTATAGGCCATATAGCCAGCTGTTGATGAGCTCCCCTCAACATTTATAGGGCTTACAGGTTGCATTTCATGGCCATGAGACAATTGTGACGGATTGAATCTTCTCGAATGAAGCCGAATTGATGCTCGGTAGACTGATGGAAGTGTCTGGTGGAAGCCATCCGTGAATCAAGGGGTTTTTGACAGCGTAAAGGAGTGTGGATGAGCCGATATTTAACCCGGTGGCTGCCACCATGTATCAGTAAGAGGGAAAAATAATGGGGATCCACTGGTACGGAGATTGCAGGAATGGGGATACATACTCTACACTGACTCGAGGTTTGAGTGTTGAGCAGGTGGGATCATGAAGCTCATCCACACCGAGAAGCCGTGGAGCCTAGAGCTACTGAAAAGCTTCTGGAAAATCCCCAACTGGCATAACCGTGCACTGTTTCACGACCGTGTCAAGTAGCAGGATGATAGAATCTTGTGGATGAAACTCGACACGAGGCATTCTGACTCCCTGATTGGCTTCAACCGTTGCAATCACGTGGGAGCCACGTGGGCTCGATCGCAACTGGAAAAAAGAGGAAAGCAAAGGCAGTTACATGCCATGAACTCTCGATTGCATTCCCAAGCTTCATGATCGCCATATACCACGCCCTCAGGCGTTGGGGAGGATCTAACGACCGTGACCCACGATGTCCCCGAATCCCCCGATCGCCTGTTTAGGTAGATCCCGAGTCCCGGGAGAAGCTGCTACTCAATCAATCACTCCATGACCAAAGCGTCTCCCATCTCCGGCCCTGGATCGACGGACGCGTCGGCACTTCATTTCCTTGGCGGTGACTGGTACAATTGTCCAATGATTCACAGTCGCAATATCTTGCACTCTCAAAACCCCTTCCGAATAGGGGCTAGACGCCGTTCCCACTTTTCTGGCAAGTGGTCCGGGTCTCAACTACAAAGTACGAAACTGCCAATGACCAGCTCCGTTAGGGAGTTCCTCCGTGGTTAGTGGCTCCCGCTACCTTAATTTTCTTTTATTATGCTTATAGCACTTCTCCTTAGCTGCCTAACTGCCAGAGGTCACACAATGAAAAAAGAGTCATAATATCAGGCCACTGCTTGGGCCACGTGCGGACGATGGAGCTTCGCTGATAAGCCCTGCACGGTTGGGGCCAAGGAGGAATCCTCATATGCTGACGCTCAGTTCGATTGCTTCTGTTGGCATCACTGATGCGCTCCAAAGCTTCGAATTTGCGCCAATAAGGACAAACGCCCCCCGTTTCTCCATCGTGCGCAACCCCCGATGGTCGGGGCGCAGTTCATTGAGACAGCTAATATCCGACAACGACTTAGCGCAGTTCAAAAGATTAGCTTGATTAAAACCAAATTGCGCCTCGATTGCAAGGCACTCAAAGTCTGACAGGCCGGGTGGAGATGGCCGCCAATGCGCCCCCACTTACCCTCAGCGTGGCCGGGAGAAACCCGGTGATCCTGTTTGCGACGCTAAGTAAATGCAGCCGTGCTGAATTCTAGAATCCACGCCATGCTGATGGAAGGATGGAAACCAGCCCCCAGAATCATGGTTGGATTACATCACTAGCCAGTGTTAGGGTCTACAGCCACGATCCTCGCATTGGCCGTTCTCGCTTTTCATTAACTGCCCGCTCCTGGCCCCTAAATCATGGATGGATGAAAACCCTGATGGGCCCCGGAGCCAGTTCGTCGTCTGTCCTGGGAATTGTTCCTCCCACGATGCCCCTGCGTGTACCGGACTCTCTGTAAAGCTGCGGATATGTCCAATCCCTTTGGTGAGCCGCCCAAGGGCCTTAATCTTGCGGAGAACAGCACGGGCAGAAATGATGCCGTTGTCGTTTGCATGTATACCCTGGCCTTTGTGACTATTGGATTTCGGTTGTTTTCCCGGATAAAGATCCAGCAGGCCAATATCGGGCTTGACGACTGGCTGATAGTAGGAGCATTGGTATGTTGCATCCTCTCTTGTGAGAACTATTATCCTAATCAAACTACAGTTATCAGGTACAGCCAACATGGCCTGTGCAATAGCCGGTTCGTAATTGCCCACACTGTTCAACCAATTAATGTACTGACATCAATCTTAGGGGGGCACTATGGTCTTGGGAAACATGTTTGGGTAGTCACCCTGGATGAAATCATTCACATGGTGCATGTAAGATACCCCTCGGTACCAGTCTTTTGAGGAATGTCGAAGCTCATGTCAATGCTTTAGATACTCTACGCCAACGTGCTCCTTTACATCCTCACCGTTCCCCTCATCAAAGTCTCCATCATACTCTCATATCGCCGACTTTTCGGTATGCAGTGGACCATGTGGGCTTGCATCGCCCTGTCCATCGGCTACTGGATAGGTTGCTCAGTCGCCTTTCTCTGCTCCTGCCAACCAATCTCATACTACTGGACGCAATACGAGAATCCCCTCGGCGGTTACGTCCGATATGATCTTTACCCTTTCTACATTGCTCACGCTGTCGTCAACATGGCCGGGGACCTTCTCATCCTTCTTGTTCCGATTCCGCTAGTCTGGCGCCTGAAATTACGAGTGGGACAGAAGATCCAGATCCTGAGCATCTTCCTTCTCGGTGGCTTGTAAGTCAACTATAACACACCCCTGCGGTCTTCCCAATTGCTTAAACTAATCGCCAACCGACGACAGTGTTTGCGTCGCCAGCGCCATCCGTATATATTACTTCACCTTCATCAACGACGTCGACGTCACCTGGAACCTGGGTAACGTTTTCATTTGGTCGAGTGTTGAGCCGTCCATCGGAATCGTCTGTGCCTGTCTCCCCGTCCTCCAACCCCTGTTCCGAACGATCATCAACCGCCGGAGCTTGCCAAACCGAACCACCACAAAAGGTGTCCGCTTCGCACCAGATATCATGAGCAAAATCCATGGCGAGGATCGGAGACAGACACGAGAAGATGAAGCCGTGTTAACGACAACCTCAGTTCACATCGAAATGGACGGTGTAGGCAAGGGGAGACTCAGCGACGAAGAAGAAGCCATGGGGTACGATTTAATGTCTATCAAGGTGCAGAAGGATTTTCAAATGGAGGAAGAGCATCGTCGATAAAATATATGGTGTTATGTTGCGGGCGTTTATGGGACATTTTTCTCCATTGGTTTCTCTCTCCCTTTGAATATGTTCGTTCAGCATATGGGCGGTTTTCTTTTCAAGCATGTACATACATAGACATACTTACCTCAAGGTATATACCCCTCCCTACTAGAGAGATAATACAATAATCTCCACAAAGACATGATGTTGCATCGCAGTTCGTAAATTTTACAGAGAACTGTGTATTGGTATCATTGCATATGACTGCTGGTAGGGTAAGTAGGGAATTAGAAACTGCTGAGCTGGCTGGTTTAGCATGTATGCATGGTCCGGCTCAGACATATCCATTTCTAATTGGTTTATTCTGGGAGATCTTACGATACTATTGATTTCATAACGCTAGCCATGACTGACTACTAACAAATATATGCAATGAAACCGAAATATAATCTTAAATATGAACAATAGCAAGTACTAAAACAAGAAAATATGATCTATATGCAATGTCGCAGCAACAGAAATAAAACAAAACCACTGAAGTAAACCATATCATGCATACATATATCCCCTCTCCACCAAAAAATAGAACAAGAACAACACCACCATGCAATCTATATGACATCTATAAACCATTCTCGTTTCCTCAAAAATCAAATATCGTCGCTCATGCCAACATCCCCATAGTTCTCTCAATCTCTCCCGCAATTTCATCAACAAGCTTATGCACCTCTTCGACACTCATGACTCCCCCTTCAACTCGAACACCAAACCCGATAGAATCCGTCTTGGCATCTGGGCCAACATCAATGAATACATTTTCTGACGGCAGGAATTCCGTATCTAGTGCCGACACGGCAGTGACTTCTTCAGCCAAAGGCTGTTCGGGGATGAAGTCTGTAGGGACACCGATCCGCAACGGGGAGAAGAAGTCCTCAGTACCATCTGATGTGGACTTGGCATTCGAGGAGATAGTGTTCTGCGTCCAGAGGAGGTTCACCCAGGTGTTGAAGAGGGGTTTCTCGGGTGAGATCCACTGGAGGATGTTGCGGAGGGAACTTTGTTCGTAGGAGACGCGGTCCGCGAGAGAGGATTGAATAGCACGAACTTGAGTAAGAAGATCAGTGTCGATGGGGTTGGTGTCTGCATTAGGGATGGTGAATGGGTTAACGTTCAGACAGGGTCCGGAGAGGTTCTCGACGTTGTTGAAGGAGGCAGAGCGACCGGCTTGGTAGAGACCCATTGTTGGATTTTGGACGTTGGTGAGACGTGCGATGCAGCGGGCTATGGCGAAGAGGACGACGGTTTGTAGACTGACGTTGGAGGATCGGCATTTTGTCTCGAGTTGGGAGAGGTCCTTGACCTTTTCCCAGACTCCGATGAAGAGCTGGTCTGGGGTAGGCTGGGTTTCGGTGCGAGTGTTGCGGATGATGGTAGGAGAGGCGTCACCGAGAGTAGTGTTCCAGTATTGCTTTTCATCGAGGCTCTGGAGAGAGCGCATTGAGAAGTCGACGAATGCAGGGAAGTCAGTGTTAGCTACGGGGCGTTGGTCATTGTAGAGCTCTGCTAGCTCTTTAACGAAAAGTGGCATGGTCCATGCGTCATACGCGGCGTGGTTTATGAGGAGGAGAATACCATCTCTGTCGTTAGCTTTCAATAGACGAAGTCTGACGGGAGGCGTAAAAAGCGAGGATGGGTGGAGAGCCTCTTCTCTTGCTTGTGCTTGGGCTGCTTCAAAAAGAGGAGTAGAGGTCTCGATAACCTGGAATGTGCCCGCACCACGCATTGCCTGTTTGAGAACAATCTGTACTGCTTCCGACGAGGATATAGCTGCGAAGCAGGTGCGGAGGATAGGATGCCTTTGGCGGAGCTGGAACCAAGCTTCCTCAATTTTAGCACTGTCGATGCGCCCGGAGCAGGCATATGCCCAGGCAGGTTCGAGCAGATTCCGTCCAGATTTCAGCCAGCTGACTAAATGATAGAATTGGCCACCGAGACAAGGTAGAATGGCTTCGACAGAGTCCTTGCTGAGGTTGAGCTGTTGGAGCACAGTGGTTTCCACCTCGGTGTAATTTCTGATAAGTGAACCCCGAGGTTGGATTGCCTGTTCGGACAATGGCTGGATGCGTTGGCTGATCCCACGCAGGGTGTTCCCCTGAAGGATGTCGGCTACCCCAATTTTCAAACCCTTCGATCGGCAAATCGAAGCAATGCGGATAGCTGTGAGAGAGTCCAATCCGATATTGAAGATGCTAGTGTTTGGTTTGATGTTGTCCACAGAGATTCCAGCGATCTCAGCGAGCACAGACTGGATGATGGCCTCATGGGATGGTGCTTCGGATGATTCAACATTGGGGTCGAGCGACTGCTCAACAGACAGCTTTGTCGGTAACTCACCAAGTCCTTGTGGCACGATGGTAGCGCACCTAGTAGGATGCTCGATAATGTCACGGAACGCAATGGCGAATTCATCCATCAGTTGGTCAAGCGTTTCCTGGGAGATGTACCGGCCGTTGCAAGTTGCTTGTACCACAAGTCCATCGCAAGCATGATCGACCTCAACATTGAGCTTATATTCTGCCTGCGCGGCATAGTCATCTGCTTCATAAGGTGTCCAAATCTGTTGCTCTTCTATGATACTGCCAGCGAAGTCCGCACTCTTTTGGAAGACGAAAAGAGTATCGAAAAGCATGGATGATGTGCTGTTGTTAGCCTGCCTGAAAGAATTCTGCACAAGTCTGAGTGGCGCGTTCTGATGGCTCTGCGAATCAATTGTATGCTGTTGTAAGCGCTGGGCCATGGCCTTGTTACTCAGGAACTTGGGCTCGAAAGAGACCCTCTGAGCAACTGTATTGAACATTGGCCCGAGGGTTCGTTCGGCACCAGCAACAGGCAACGAGCGGCCTGCAAGGACTTGTCCAAAGACGACATCACGTTTTCCGACTACACCTGCTAGAACCTTCGCATAGGCCAGGAGAGATACGCTCTGCACGGTGACCTCCATTGCCTTGCAGGCATCCACTATGGCCGACAAGTCAAGGTCAACCCGGCATTCAGAAAGCAACATGCGGTCTGACGACTCAGGATGAGGAAGCTCAGGAAGTTCAGTGACTTCATATCCGAGTAGTCTTTCTGTCCAGAATTCGCAAGCTTTTTCTTGACCGCTTAGTAGATGCTGGACAGTCTCTGAGAACTGTGGTCTTATCGGAAGACTGCTTTCTTCATAGCACACGGCCAGGTCCTCAAACAGGAAGGGGATGGAAGAACCATCATACAGAGCATGATGCAGAACAACAACCAGTAATCTGCCTCCAGGCTGGTTGACTAGAGCAGACCGAATTGGTGGGACCTCGAAAGAAGCCTCTTCGCTGAAATCATAGAGAGAGTCGACTTCAGTCAGAACATCGGCCCCGGAAGGCAATGTGAGCTCCTCCCACTGGAAAGGAGGATTGGTGTGTACGGCGGCAATCCAGGAGGAACCAAGCTCAGCGATTAGGTGGAAGGATGTCCGCAGAATATCATTTGCATCGATGACTCTGAAAAGAGCCTCCTTCAGTCGGGTAGTATCGACCGAGTCTTTTAATCTGATAATGTGCGGGTGAGCGTACACCTTTCCGCTAGAAGCAATTGTCTGCGTAATCATTCCCGACTGCAGGGGCGTAGTTTCGAACATTGTAGAGATCGAATCATCCTCTGCAAGGAGTCGAACATTTTCGCCGTAGGTCTCAATAGGGATACCGGTAATTGTCTTCTCGTGCCCATTGGTACCGTTAACCGGGGTCTGAGAACGTGATTTCTGCTCCACATGCTGAGCCAACGCACCAACGCATGAGAAACGCATAATATCAGCAGAAGAAACCTGAAGCCCAGCTTCCCGTAGCTGACGCGCAAATTGAATTGCCGTGACCGAATCAACACCCAAACTCAAGAAAGAAGCGCCTTTAGTGACTTCCACCGAAGTCAATCCGCAAAAAGACATCGTGTATTCACGAATCGTGGTTTCCGCGGTGGACCATGTGGTGTTGTCCCACAGCACAGCAGGACGCGAACCAGATGCTGCTGAATGAGAGACATTGAAGTCGTCTAGCGAAAGACTTTGACCCGCTGCAATGCTCGAGAGCACTGCGTCCATCTTCTCGATCAATTCACTTCCATTGTATAGGGAGCCGAAAGCGGATGAAAAGAAGCAGTTGAGCTGAACAGTGTCCATGGAATGGTTGGCCTCGACCTCCACTGCCAACGGATACTCGGCAGGCATATTGCTCTCTAGTTCTTGCCACAGGCGGTGTTCTGGTGGCGCAGCAGTCCTAATATAAGAAAATAGACAGTCGAACAGGGGAGCTTCCGCATTAATCCATCTCTGTATATGCCTCAGGGGTGTGTGCTGGAAATCAAGCGACCCCACAGTAGACTTTTGGACATCCGCCACAACATCGTCAACTGTACTCAGGCTAGCGGTATTGAGACGACCAGGGACGGTAGTGATGCAAGGCAGAAGTACCGAGGAAGCTCCGGGAACCGACACGGCTCTACCGGACAGGACCAACCCATAGGTCACATCTGACACACCAACGGTATCAGCCAGCAAGAGTGCGAAAATCGCTTGCACCAAGGATGGTACAGTGGTCTGAAGAGCTGCAGAGCGGTGCTCCAGTTCAGAAAGCTTCACACCAAGGCTTCTATGTACGACAACCGGAGGCTCCATGGCATTGAAGTCAGTACGGAAAGTTGTCGGATGGCATCCTTCCAGATAGCGGACCCAGTGTTGCTTGGCCTTTTCTGAATCCTGACTATAAACGTATTCAACGAAAGCCGACGGCGAGCCTCTCTGAGGGATAGGTTGGTCTGCATAGCGTGCTGCCACATCCTCCATTAGCATCGTGAAAGATTCTCCATCATAGAGCGCATGATGAATGTTAATGAAGAGGGCAAGTGGTTCCTTGGTTTCCGAGGATTTGGCTATGAGGAACCGCACTGGTGGGACAGTGGAGATGTTTGCAATGATTTCCTCAGAGATCTGCTTCTGTTGTGCCTTGTTATGCTCAATAGCTTCGTTCAGGCTCTCATACTCCTCTTCCTTCCATGGAAACTGATGAGAATCGACCGTGTAGACCACTTGCACCATTTGCTTGTCCAAAGGAGCGAATAAAGTTCTCAGGATCTCGGTGTCATTTGAGACAGCTTGCCAGGCAGATTTTAACTTCTCACTATCGACACAGGCCTCGAGTTGAAGGGCAATGTGATTGACATAGAGTTGATCGCTTTCACTATTAATTGAGCGAGCAACTAAACCTTCCTGAAGTGGCAAGCAAGGCCTGACCGTGTCCACATCGGACGGGTTGACACCGGGCGACGGTTGTTGGCGGTATTGAGACTCAATGTTTTGAAAGGCTTGACGTGTCTGCGAGACAGCACTCTCTGCGTCCGAAGAACCCCTAGGTAAGCGTGCAAGCTGCTCAATGATCGGGTTGCTCATGACCATGGCTACCGTGACTTCATACCCAATTCTCCGGAGCTTAATCGTAAGCCCTATGGCACTTAGACTATCGAGGCCAACTTCGAAGATGTTCGTCATGGGTCTAACAATCGAAGGATCCGCCGAAACAACATCAAGGACTTCTTTGATCACAGCTTCTTCGTCGGCAGTCAAAGGTCGTTCAATAACGACGCCGTCCTTACTTGCCGAGCTGTTACCTTGAAGGACAGTAGGCAGAGGAAGGCTGGAGAAGAGGCCATGTAGCTCTTTGATGTTTGCCTTTCCTGACATCGGTGCCAAAGGTATATAAGTGATGGGGAGAATAAGCTCGGGAACCATGTAGCCCGGTAGCTTCCTCTTGCAAGAGTCTTGAAGTTCCTTGCCTAGCGTTGCGAAGTCGGACATAACGAAGGTGACATCTCCGCTCTTCACACGTTGACGGGCTTCCGACCGAGCGATGAACGAGATAAGTTGGACTCTTGAAAGACCAGGGTGTTTGGCCACGGTCGTGACAACATCAATGCCAACAGTCGACGAAGAGCGAAGCACCTCAGATACCTCACCGAGCTCTAGCCTTTGACCACGAATCTTGGTCTGGTCATCGCCACGCCCAAGATACTCGACCGAGTCGTCTGGCATCATGCGTCCCAAATCACCAGTCCGGTACATCTTTTCACCATTAGGTCCGGTGATGAAGCCAGTGGCATCTGGTCTGTTGAGATAGCCCCTTCCAACGAGGTCTCCAGAAAAGCATAGCTCGCCAGCCTGGCCTCTCAGAGCATAGTCAAGGGTACCAGGGACAAGGACATGAGACACACAGGCTGCTAGGGGAGGTCCGATATTGCGCAAGTTTGTGTCTTTTCCGACGGGAGCGAATGTGCAGCCGATGGTTACCTCTGTCGGGCCGTATGCGTTGATAAGCGCCATGTGTGGTGTTCCCGCCCAGGTGTCCAATACCTTCTGTGAAATCTTTTCTCCACCAACAGTCATGAATCTCAACTTGGGACATTGCTCTGGTACAATATTTGCTTGATCCAGAAGAGATGGCACCAGACTTGCATGAGTGATATCCCACTTGGACAAGGTTATCCCCAGGTCATCCAAAATCATCATCCTAGGAGCTGTAACAGTAGCCATCCCATGGCGCCATGGGAAGAGCATTTCCAACAGATGGGGATCAAAAGCTCGACTGGCCTGCGCGAGATATCTTCCAGTGCCGCCCAGATCATACGTAGCGGGGGCATACCGGCCTGTGAACACCGAGATCGACTCGATGAAAGATGAAAGGTTGCCTCGGGTCACCATCACACCCTTCGGTTTCCCTGTCGAGCCTGAGGTAAATAAAAGATATGCCAGATCGTTGGGATCGGAGTTATAGTCTTGATCTTCTGTTGACATAGTGGCAAGTGAGCCCAAGAGCTCCGGGTTGTCGATAGTTATCACGCGACATCCCTCGGGGGTACTTTGGAGCGTGCTCACGAACGCCGTTTCGGTGAAAACAACAGGACAATCACTATCCTTGATGAGAAAAGCTTTGCGATCCTCCGGAAGGTTTTCTTCGATTGGAAGGTAAGCATTTCCTGACTTGAAGATACCGATTATGATGGGATAAGAGGGCAGGTTTCGCCCAATGCAGACTCCGATCATCCTGTTCTTATGACCAAGAGATGCCAGGTAGGCCGCAACACGGTTTGCTTCAGAGTTTAATGTACCGAAGGTCATAGCTTCCTTCACAATCCCGTTTGAGGAAATTTCACTGGCTACCTCAACGGCTGTCCATTCAGGGTGCTTCTTCGCATACACCTCTAACCAGTGCGTAGGGCTCAGTCGAACAGACTTCACTACTTCTTCTCTGACAGGCTGATTCGATAGCGATCGTAATGGCGAAGGAAAGCGGTTGATTAGACTTGCAAGGGGCTGGTCTGGAGATGCGAGCATTGAACTGATAAGCCCGTCGATCTGACGAATGAATAGTGACAGCTGTGCCCGACACATTATGCTGCTGTCCGCAGTTGCCTCGAGGACTATAGAGCCATCCATATGTTGGAAAACGTTCATGGCCATGGGATGCTCAACATGCAGCCCGACCTCATCTTCGAGTTCGCGCCAAATGCTAGGCTGAGTGACGTTTGCACCCTCTTCTTTCGCAACATGGAAGTTGAACACCGCCGGATATAAGGCCTCACCCCTGGGTCTCTTGAGAATCTTTCGGACCTCGCGAGCATGGATATGGCGATACTTCCAGGAATGAACAGAGATGCGATGCTGCTCGGTAAGTAGCTCACGAGTGTTTCCCGTTGGATGGAACGGAATAGGTACAACGGAGATGAGGGGTCCAATGCAGTCTTCAAGGTCAGCATGCAGGACTCTGTCAGAGAGAGTCTCAGCAAAGACTGTTGCTGGAAGACCAAGATAAGCCAGCGAAACAAAGGCCCATGCGGCTCGGATAATCGAGGCAATGGATGAGACCCCAAGTTGGGCTGCAAACGACTGCAGGTTGCCAACAGGCTCCGTTAAAGGCGACTCTTCTGTAATCAAGATATGCTTGGGGACTTCGCCTGGCTGCAACCTCTTCCCAGTGAGATCGGGCCACACTGGCGCATCAAGCTCTGCAAATTTCTTGAGTTCGGTTTTCCAAAAGCTTCTGGTCTCCTTGCTCCGATTTTCTCCTGGTAGAACGATCGAGAGCGCATCACTGAGTTGATGTCTCTGAGGAGGTTTATAAGCATAAGCTGATCGCACATCATCCATTATAAGTCCCAGGGAAGGTTCGTCATGAATCGAATGATGGAGGGTGAGGATCATGAGCTGCCTTTTGCCTGTGTCGAATACTGTAACGGCCCATGGGGGATATTTGAAATAGTTCTTCTGGTGTTTGGTCATGATCTCCTCAATCCGATTTTCGCGATGCTCCACCAGGTCCTGCTCTGAACAGTTGATGTATTCCCAATCGACATCTGGTAGTGTGTAAATGATTTGCAATATAGAAAAGTCAAGTTTTCCTTGCGATCGGCTTTTCCCGTCATCGACCTCCGCAACAGGGATAAAGCCAGTTCTCAGAGCCTCCACCTTCTGGCTCGTTGCAAGCCAAGCCTGTTTCATTCGCGTCGCATCCACCGAGCTGTCAAGCAGGAAGAAATGATTACTCCAATATCTGTTGTATGTACCCATTGTCTCACTAAGAAGACTTTCCTGGATCGTGGTCGCGCGCACAGTTATGAATCCCTCCGGTACTTTGCTAACTGTGGCTGTGTGCCAGGTGTCATGGAATGCCCTAACGTCGAACGTTTCGTAGGTGGGCTTCTCCACTACAGTAGATGAGGAGGCCAGTTGGACAAGATCCTGGACAGTCACACAATTTAGGACCTCCACAACAGACAATTGATGACCGGCCTCCTTGAGTCTGGAGGCAAGCCGGATTGCGCGAATAGAGTCGATACCCAGACTCCCCAGGCGGCTGGACTTCGTGATAATTGACTGGGAGATATTGGCCAAGGTAGAAATCATTTCTACTACCCGGTGTGTTATGGTCGCGGTGTGCTGGTCCTGGGAGTCCGCTGCAGAAGATTTGATTTCTGGATTCATCTCTTTCTCCCAACTATCGATATCCACACCGGCATAGGCAGCTTCCAAGGCCCTGCGATCTGTCTTGGCGGATGATGTTCTCGGGATGTGCGAGACCACAAGGTATACAGACGGTATCATGTGGTCAGGTAGAACGCTTTGTGCTTTCTCGCTGGCAGCACGGGCAATCTCAAGCGCCGCCTTATCGATCATCAAGAGCTGCTCGTCTTCGGTGCGTGTAGCTTTCGGAGCAGAGAGAAAGGCGACCACAACCTTATTAGGCCGGTCTGGGCGGTTGAGAATAAGCGTCTCAATATTCTCAACCAGAGGATGGCACTCGCCGAGCGAGAAGCTGATCTCGCTCAGCTCCACTCTGATACCTCCCAGTTTGACCAGGTCATCAACACGATTGATGTACTCCAGGGATCCGTCAGCAAGCATGCGAACCAAATCTCCAGTGTAGTACACCATCTGACCAACCTCTTCGTTCCAGACATACTTGGCCTTGGTGACATCCTCTTGATTCAGATAACCAGGAGAAAGTTGTGGTCCGCCCAGCGCCAGCTCGCCTATAGCATTCTTCATGATGAGCCGCTGCTTGTTTGTTACAAACACAGACACAGTATCCATCGGCCAGCCAATGTTCGCGCTCTTGATGTTTTTGTGTTCGTTACCAAACTCCCTGATCGTGGAAACCACTGTCACTTCGGCGGGCCCGTAAGTATTGAATGCTCTCATATCGGTACCCCAGTCATCGGCCACAGGTTGCGTCAGCTTCTCACCGATCATAGTGATTACTTGAAGTGTCGGGCATGATTTTCGGGAGACACCTGCCGAGAAGGCTGGAGTCAGGTGTGCGTGTGTGGCATTCGTGATGTTCGCAAGCTTTGAGAACGAACCAAGCATGATCTCTCTCGATGCAGAGATAAGAACGCCCCCCACACCCCAGGTGTAGAAGATGTCCTGGATCGAAACGTCGAAGGTGTACTGTGAAAACTGCAAGCAACGTACCCCGCCAGCTACATCAGTAGGGATATCCTTCTGAAGTGATCTCATACTCGAGACAGCCGAAGAATGCTTGATCGGGACACCTTTCGGTGCTCCTGTTGTACCGCTCGTCCAGATGAGATACGCCATGCCATCAGGAGTAGCCCGGTCCCTAGACGCACCCCGTACTACTCCGTTCGCATAGATGGGTTCGTCGATGGTGAATTTGCCCACGTCAATTGTCTCGACACCAATGGGAATTGAACCATCTGGCTGCTCTCCATCTACACTAGAGACCAGAAGGATTGTTGAACCGGTCCGTGCAATGAGGTCGTGGCGACGTTGTGCAGGAGAGAGCGTATCAATCGGGCACCAAGCACCACCAGCTTTGAGAATGCCAAGGATGGCAACATACAAGGCCGGGCTCTTCTCGATACAAATAGGTATCGGCGAGTTTGCCACTCGTGCGCCAGTTTGAAGCAGATGCTCTGCGAGTTTGTCGGCCAAAGCGTTGAGCCCGGCGTAGGACCACGTGATATTTCGTGGGTTGCTCTCGTCATCTAAGTCGTACTTGAAGATCAAGGCAGGGTCTTCTGGATGGGACGCTGCATGCTCCTCGAACTGGGAATGAAGAAGTGCACCGTCTAGTACTTCGGGAGCGATAGACGGCTTGGAGTTGAAGCTCGACTTTAGCCCAGTCTCCGTATGAGATGGGGCATCTTGGAAGCTCTCATCGGGCTGCTCTAGTATGTAAGCGACAATGTCAGACATCTGCCAGAGCATCATTTCGGCGGAGTTACGATCAAGCAGAACGTCGTTGAAACTAGCCCGGAATGTCAGAGATGAATTAGCAGCGGGCCATATCTCAATCATAACAGCAAAATCGTTCGCCATGGCCGGATGGTCGACTGAGCTCCAGAGACCACTAACACTGGAGCCAGCGTTGAAGTCTTGGTAGGCGATGAGGGTATCGTATGGAAGCCGGCCATCCGCCGTTACTAGCGATCCTAGCCGAGGTTGTAGGTGAGATAGTGTCTGTGCATTAAAAGTTGTCAGATGGCGCGCGACCGAGCGGTTTGTCCACGACTTCTGGGAGTCTTGTTGGATTTGGCTCAGGGAAAGCCTGATCGGGACAGTGGTAAATGTCGGACCAACGCAGGTTTCTGAGTCCACGTCAAGCCTACCAGATACGACACTGCCCATAACTACGTCCTGAGCTGGAGTTCCAGTGTAAGCCAGGAGGACCGACCCCCAAGCAGCTTGGAGCACTGAAAGCGGTGTTGAACCGATGAGCTTAGATTCTCTTTTCAAGCGGTCGTAGCTTGTGCGAGCCGTGATTTCCACACATCCAGTCTTCTTTGTTGGTGGGGTACGGTAAGGCGTGACAGATGGGAACCAAACAGGAGAGTAGCTTTCCAGATGCTGCCCCCAGAATTTGGCGGTTGCTGCGTGGTCAGCCTGGAAATGATGCTTCACAAGATGCTCGAGAGAAACGCGCTGTGCTGGCGTGTTCCCTGAGTACACGGAAGACACGTCCTCGAGCAAGAGCTGTAATGATCCACCATCGAATATACCATGAAACATGCTCAAGATTATTCGAGTAGATGCCGGAGATGTTACCACTGATAACCTCCAAGGTGGTGTGCCTAGCTCAATTGACTCCTCTGCTTCTTGGAGGGCCTGCTGCAACACGTTTTCGTCTGAAGACTGCTTCGTGGAATGATAGGTATTCCACCTTGTCCCCGAGACTGCTGTGGGAGCGAGGATGCACTGAGCAAATGGTGCCATATCATCATCAAGCCAGCAGAAAACTGTCCGGAAGGAGTCGTAGCTTGCAATGACGGTTTCCCACGCAGCTTTGATACGATCTATGTCCACTCCCGGTTCGAGTGGTAAAACAGAATGATAGATGTATGAGCGAGTTGCAAAGGCTGCGTCAGATGAGCTGCGCAGGAAACTAGTCAATATGCCAGACTGTGTCGCGGTTGTTGGAAGCACCTTTTGGATCTTCTCAGGAGTCATGCCCAGTCTCTCAGCGCAAATTGTGTGATTACGATCTTGAAAGGCTGAAAGACTGTGTTGGAGGGTCTCATCCGAGCCATTGACCTGGGGGATACCGTTTGATTGACGTTGCTGAGCGACGGCGTTGACCAATGCTTTGGGGGTTCCAGACTGTAGAACGTCACCAACCGATAAACCTTCTATAGAATGGTCCCTAAGCTTCTGCAGAAGCCGCATTGCACCCAGACTATCGATACCCAGTGAATACAGGTCGGTCCCAGGCTTGATGGCAGAAACACTCTCATCCGTTGCCTCTGCAATGAGGCCAACTATAAGCTGCTGAATGGACAGCAAGTCTTCATCAATAAGGAAATTCCAGTCATCATGAATCCCATTCGTTTCCGCAGGCTTCAATTTGGGTGCAGGATATAGTCTGATATCGCCCCCCGAACCCTGCTGCAGCCTTGCAGTTACCGCTTTGCGATCGACTTTCCCGGCACTGGACCGAGGGAGAGCATCGAGAAAAACGTAAGCAGACGGACACATGTAAGAAGAGAGATGTTTCTCGGAATTCTGATGTGCCTCCCAGATAATATCCTCTCTCTCCGCTTCACTGCTGCCATTTGCAACGAGGCATGCGACGATCTGTTCACTTCCCTGGACATTAGCATCGCGTTTGGAAACCACGGCTACAACCTCGTTGGCACCGCGTACAGTCTCGAGGACTGATTCGATCTCGCCTAGTTCGAGTCGCCGACCGCTAATTTTGACTTGGTCAGACGTGATACGACCAAGGAATTCAATGATCTGGGAACCAGATTCGTCCCAAACCATCCGTGCCATGTCACCAGTCCGGTACAAGCGACCGAACTCGCCACTATCAACGAACGCCTTTGCAGTTTCTACCGGACGGTTGAGATAACCTTTGCTGAGCTGCGGGCCACCAATTGCTAGTTCACCGGCAAGACCAGCAGGAACCGCTCGAGGCTCACGGCTGTTGGGGTCGAGAACAAACATTGAACAGGTTGCTAGCGCTTGGCCAATTATGGAGCAGCGGAGGGAATGGCCAAATGGTGCCAGGTAAGTACAGGCAATCGTTGCTTCAGTCGGACCGTAGGTATTGACCAACATCCGCGAGGGCTCGGATACAGTAATCCCTCCATTTGTACCAGGTTTTGCGGAGAAGTTTTCGATGACGGTTCTATTAAGCTTTTCACCGATACACCAGAGGTATTGGAGCGTGGTTAGCCGTTCCGGCCGAAGAAGGGCAGCCAAGCTAGGCGTAGCCATCATCACAGTTGCTCTAGCTTCGTTGATGGTCGCTTCCAGGTCGGTTAGCGTCAAGCTGCGGTCGGCCGAGCAGAGAGTGGCACCGCAACCCAAGGTTACAAATATCTCCGCTAGGGAAGGGTCAAAGGTTGGAGCACAGAATTGAAACCAGCGGAAATCGTCAATTTCTTCTCCCGGAATAGGAACTTCTGTAGCATGAGCTTCAATGGAGCAGGCGGCAGCTAGGTGACTGATCTGAACACCCTTTGGCTTTCCAGTAGAGCCGCTGGTGAATAGGAGGTACGCAGTTTGGTCATGCTCGATGTCTAACTGTTCCAGAGGCTCGCCGTGCTCCGAGGACTCGGACTGACCATCACGCAAGCTCTTCCATCTTGAGACCTCCGCTACGTCAACCCAAACCTGCTTGATGGTTGAACCGGCGCTAGCATCGCACCATGGCCCAGAGACGGGCTCTGGGGTATTGCCAAGTATAATCGGACAGTCGATGTCTTCTAGGACATCACGAACCCGTTGTACCGGTGCATCCTGGGGTATCGGAGAGAAAGCGAAACCAGCCTTGAGAACGGCGAGATATGTAATGTAAAGTTCCGGACACGATGGCATGTAAACAGGGATGATGCGTCCATAGTCGGCGGCGTTCTTCGCCAACAAAAGGGCTCGAATATGTACAGCGAGGATAGTGGCTGCTTGATTAAGTGCGGCATAAGTAAGAAGGCTGTGTTCTGCCGCAGCCGTGGCAGAAGGCAAAGAATGAACAAAATCCAGCGCTATGGCATCAGGTTTTCGACGGGCCCAGCCCTCGAAAGCGACATGGAGAAGATATTGTTTGGAATGGCCAGACTCGGGAAAATCAACTTGGTCCGTCTCTCGCAAAGGGGGTATCATAAGGGGAGGAAAATTCAAGACTGAAAGATTGGGCGACGGAGCGTCAAAGGTAAGGAAAGTGGTTGAGTCTGCCAGTTGTGTGGCAAGAATTCTGAGTAGCTGATCCACTGCCGGCTCAGGTATAAGGCGTGTCGGATAGGCAAAACTGATTTCGAGGGTATCTTTCGTGGTGGTAGGTCGAATGAATGTCGTGAAGGCCTAGCAGCAGCACGTTAGTCAGATTGGGCAGCCTCCGCGTTCCTGCGCGGGCAGAACACTTACACTGTCTCGAACTCCAACAAGGGGTTGTTGCTCGCCATTTTCAGGACCGACATACAAGCCCAAGTCCAGAGAAAACTGTACCTCTCCCTCATCTGCGTGTTGTTCACTGTCTTCGCGGAAAACGCAACGTGGTTGTTGCCCCTCCTCCGCGGCCAGCACGGAAGCCGAAACGACCCCGCGCAACAGATCGGACTCGCTGGCGATGCTTGACTGACGCGACACGAAGAAGGCGACATCCTCCAAACCAGTTAGACGAGAGATAAAACGGGCGTAGCCTTCGATCAGGCTATTTGCGATGTCGCAGTAGTCGGAGCTGCAGGTAAGCTCGACGGATGGGCTGATCGCCGCCTTATCGGCCGCGGCTTTTCCCACAACATATTGATCGAGCGTGTCCAGGGCAGGAACTCTGGTGACAGGGACGACTGGAGCAGCCATAGTTGGGTGAATGCCATTCAAGTTGGGGAGGGAAGACTTGCTCGCGAAATTGGACGAGCACTCATACCCCTCAGTGGGCGGGAATGTGACTGTCATTGCTTTTAAGTGTATCACGAGCGGGGTCGTCACGCACCTGCGAAGGGGGAGCAGCAAGCTCGTCTTATTCGACCACAGGACTCCAAAATGTTGACTGCTCCAAACAATGAGCGACTGTGGTCACCGACGGGATCATAAAGGAAATCAGCTCAATTATGAGTGTCGCACAGAGACACTTTTTCAACGCAGGAACTGTGCAGGTCGCAAACCATTCATCGTCATTGGCAGTGGGCCCGGGGGGTATGTACCACGCGCGGCCATTGGGCAACGGGTGTAAGCAAGTGGGGGGGTACAAGATTCAAGGCTTCAAGGCTTTGGCGGTCGAACCGTGGGCGGTATTGGGATGTGCAGGAGAGTGGCCGGGCGGGATCCCAGCCTGATCCTGGCTCGGGCGGTGCGCGCGGAAGACCACACGCGCATCGGACCTTCTGATTTGGCGCCCAGTGGGGGTTGCCGCCGGTCCGGCCATTTCTCCGACTTTCGGACAGGGATTATCTGATTAGATCATCTGATGATCTGATTAGATTGGTACCGTCATGACCGGTCCGGTTCGTATCCAATACACCACTGTAACGAACCGACCCAGACCGGCCCAGGTTTTCTGTTTTGCAAAACAGGGGTCGATGCAACACAGGGGATCCTTGCCCGGAGCAGCCGGCATAGATCTCTGTACGGCTACAGCCGACATTGCTACTTTGGGCTGATGATTGACGACTTTTGATCAGCACGTCTTGGTTCTAGCCCATGTCGATTTATGCGCCTGCCACGTCTAATGCCGATGACCAGGTGGCCTAGGACCTCGGCCCCTCGCCGATTGAGGTACGTACCTAAATGGGTTCCCTTATGCTGTAGGAGCTCCCCTCATGCTGCATACATAGCTCTTCGCTTCCTTGGTGCGGATCCACCCTGATGACTCCAACTGCTCGATAAGCTGAAAGTAGGTGTACGTACTTTGGATGTGAGGGATATTATCTGATCCGCGGTGGGTATTGGAAGGCATCCGGCTCTCCATATAGTGGTGCCATAGGAGATTTCTTCTGCCTGCTCACTGGGGCCTTCGGGGCTTAATGATAAGGTAATAAAATGTCAGAGACTGAGACCAGATCAAGAGCTAGCGGTGATGATTCAGGGTCCAGGCGATCCTTCCGCCTTGAAGTAATGAAAACCGATTCCGAGAGACACATGGGAGCGGAAGTACTCCGCTAGTTCAGCTCCATAATGTTGCTGTTGTTCGTGCTAGGTAGGAAGATCGGATGTTGCCGATAGACGCATCCCGGTACAGCTCAGGGTTTTGCGTAGCAATGCAGTCTTTGGGTTCCTGTTTTCTTCCAAAGCCACTCATTGTCTTCGAAAGTAGACAGTATCTAAGTAATGGTAGAATAATCGAAAGTGATGGTACGGGCATGCCTTCAATTTATCTGCTAGATGCTGGAAGCGGAGTGCAGTTCAACGGGACCGTTTTCATCTGCATAATGCAGGCTGTTATAGGTTCCCGTCGTCTACGCTCGGATGGATAGATGAATCAGTGTTAGGCCCGTATCGGGGACATGACTCAGGCACGAACAATTTTCGACATGCCCACCGTACCGTCCTCAGGATGAACAGTTGGCATTAATGCTCGATTAATTTGCATAGTCAGGCAGAGAACAGTACAAACTGTTGGAAAAACAAGTAGAGTGGTAAATATTGATGATGGTGCCAGTTCCGCGCTTAACAATTCTCATTTATGATGCAAGGTAATGGAGGTATGAGTCGCACTAGCATTGACGTCTAGCGAGGCGTCGGTGCCTAACAGCGCTCCTGTCATCTCCCTTGCAGTAGACAATTATATTAAGCTATAGAAATACTACCTAGGTTTCGAGCCAAAATACAACCATAAAGCCTTTCCAAGCAAGATGCAGTTGCAGCTTAACGATGGCTGGTCTGGGGAGGTAAGGGACACTCTTAATAGTGTTACTAAATGCAAATCTGGTTGTATGAGCCAGTGGTCAGCAGCAGGTTGCCAAGTTCGCATGGAATTAGCAGGACTAAGTTGGACAACGTCCTGGGGGAAAGGACAAACAATGCTAAAGGGGAGGGTGGAACGGGTGGAAAGCAAAGCCCTGAACAGAGTTTTGCAGTCCCCGGTTAGAATCCACCCGCGTTATCTGATCCGGGCCTCGTTTCCAGCACACGCCAGAACACGGAAGCGATGGCATCAGCGGCGGCCTTAAGCGACGCTACGGCAAAGCTATTTATTAGTTTCTGCACCGCTCAGGACTCCTTGGCCGGTAAAATCGGGTTTGTGAAATGGCAGGATTCCCGGCACTTCCACCCCCCTCCAATGCACGCACTGGTCGTTGTCACACCCTGCAAATAAATATCTCAATGGGAAATTTTTTGACTGGGTCCAGGAGTGGAGATGACACCCGCCAGCTTTAGAGTAAAAGTTGCCCTATTGGGTACCGACAGCCGAAACGGCCAAGTTTCGGAACCACAGGAAGACGGATTCATCCTGTTGCAGACTAGTCGCAGGCAAGAAAAGGCCTGGAGTCGCGTAGGAGCGGGTACCGAGGTATGCCAGAGGCAGATAATATAAGTCTGGGACCAGATGCCCCGATCTGATAAGATCCCACGAGTTTTGCCCTGTCTCTCCATTCCCTCTCCCGGCAAAAATATCCATCATGGCGACTGTCCGGCGTCTTCAGCAAACCCTTTCCCACTTTCAACCGCCTAAACCCACCCAGAAACTCTCAATTGTCCATGGTCCGACCGAGCCGGCTCTCCTGGACATCACTCTGGGTGAACTTTTGACTCTGCAAAGCCTTCAGTATGGGGATTATGAGTGTCTGGTCTTCCCCTGGACGGGAACCCGCTGGACCTACTCTAACCTGAATGCGGAGGCCAACCGGCTGGCTCGCGGTCTTCTGGCCATGGGCATCAAGAAAGGCGATCGCATTGGCGTTATGGCTGGTAACTGCGAGCAATATATCTCTGTTTTCTTTGCCGCGGCCCGAGTGGGAGCCATCCTGGTGGTTCTGAACAACACTTATACCCCCAGAGAGCTCTACTATGCGCTGGACCACACCGGTTAGTAGAGCTTATCGCGCACATCCAGTAAGGTAATGCTGATTCAGATAATTTTAGACTGTCGCGTGGTATTCATGACTCCTCGCATTGGGCGTCACGCTCTGGAAGACGTGCTGGCCGAACTGGGCCCACAGCCGAAGCAGAACGGCAAATCGGCCGCGCTGGAAGAGATTGTCATTCTGCGCGGAGAATACCAGAACTTCAGCACCTACAACGATGTCATCCAGCGGGGCGAGAAACTTCCTAACTCTGCTTTGCCGGATCGCGAAGCCGAATTGCGACCAGACGATGTGTGCAACCTTCAATTCACAAGCGGATCGACCGGCAACCCCAAGGCCGCCATGCTAACCCATCAGTATGCCCATTTTACTTGACTCTGTCGCATATGAGCTAACTTGTCTAGCAACCTGGTTAACAACTCCCGATTTATTGGCGACCGCATGGACCTTACCTCCTTCGACATTCTGTGCTGCCCTCCGCCCCTCTTCCACTGCTTCGGTCTGGTTCTGGGTATGCTCGCGGTAGTCACTCACGGCTCGAAGATCGTCTTCCCCAGCGAGACATTCGACCCCAAGGCCGTTCTTCACGCCATATCCGACGAGAAATGCACCGCACTGCACGGTGTTCCCACAATGTTCGAAGCGATCCTGAGTCTCCCCAAGCCACCCAACTTTGACACGAGCAACCTCCGCACGGGTATTATCGCCGGCGCACCGGTTCCTCGCCCATTGATGAAGCGTCTTTTCGAAGAACTCAACATGACTCAATACACCAGTAGTTATGGTGCGTTTTCCCTTTTTCATCTTCTGTTGTTATCGGCGCCCGCTAACACCATCTAGGCCTGACCGAAGCCTCTCCCACCTGCTTCAACGCCGTCACGACCGACACCATCGAGACACGCCTCACAACCGTCGGCAAGGTGATGCCGCACGCGCGAGCCAAGATTATTGACACACAAGGCAACATTGTGCCCGTAGGCGAGCGCGGAGAGCTCTGCATCGCGGGCTACCAACTGACAAAGGGATACTGGAACAACCCGGAGAAAACAGCGGAGACGCTAGTCACAGACGAAGATGGCACCACGTGGTTGAAGACCGGGGACGAGGCGATCTTCACGCCGGAGGGGCGTTGCTCAATCACGGGCCGATTCAAGGATATAATCATCCGAGGTGAGTCCTACCTTTATTTACAAACTTTGGCATTCACTTGCATCATATTTGCAAACCCACCATACCATACATACATACCACCCGTATACTAACCATGATACACATAAACACAGGTGGAGAAAACATCTATCCATTAGAAATCGAAGAACGCTTGGCAGCTCACCCAGCCATCGAAGTTGCGTCGGTGATCGGCATCCCCGACGCCAAATACGGCGAGGTAGTGGGTGCATTCATTGCCGTGGCGGCAGGATACGAGGATAAGAAGCCATCCGTGGAGGAACTGCGGAATTGGACACGAGAGACGCTGGGTCGGCATAAGGCGCCGCAGTATGTGTTTGTGTTTGGGGAGGAGGGCGTGGATCGCACAGTGCCGGTGACGGGGAGTGGAAAGGTGCGAAAGGTGGACTTGCGGAAGATTGCGGCGGGGGTGTTGGAGAGGAGGGGTGGTAACTAGCGATGGTTATATTTTCTTGCTTAAGCTGAATATTTTGTATATAGATTGATTGAATACCCTGAATGATTCACAGTTATAGACAGTTTACAGTTACGGCTTTCTACTATCTACAGATACCCTGGAAAGATCAACAGGAACAGGAGCAGAAACAGGAACTGACCTGCAGCAGATCAAATATGCATACAACTGACACGCATAGAAAACACAAAAAGCGGAAAAATACAACCCCCACCATCCACACAAACTCTACTAAAAACCCAAATCCCTATGCAGAACAACCCCCAACCAACTAATAGTCAGATACCGTAGATTGAGAAAGACGGAAGAAGAATCAGATTAGATAATCGCATCATCTAATCAGATGGAAAAAAAAAGTGAAGAAAACGGCGACGCGTCCTACTCTTCGGTTCCAGTCTGCCCCACCACACCTTTTCCCAATCACGAATATTATCTGTCTTGGCGCACACACACAAACACGAGCACAATTAATTTGTTGTTTGTGGTCTCCACTGCTCATTTACGAGCTGCAGAAAAAAGGCCGGTTTCGGGGGAGGATTTACCCACTCTGGTTCCTACCTTGCACGAGTCCTGGATTGGCAATGTTGTAAATAATGAAATGGAATTCCTACTTGATGTTGGAGTCAATGGACGGTGTCTATAAGTTCATTTATCCAAATGTTATGCTACGCAAAGCTGTAATGCGCAGGACATTATCAGTGTGCGAAGTGATTTTTCATCCAGGGTGGATTTGTAATGAGCGGGACATGAGATCCACTTAAATGCTCATGCCATGCCATGCCAGCCATGCCATGGATATTAATTCGGCCTAGACTAGGCAAGCTGTGCGTACTGCATAGTGCATACTGCAACTGCACGAGGTTTTAGCCGAGTTAACTCCATGCTGCGGAGTTTAGCAGGGAGTGGGCTCGCAAGATAGAGCTGGGTTTGGATCTAATCTAATCATGAGATGCAACTGAGCATCTAATCTATCTTCATCTTGAGTTGAATTTCCCTCAAGTGATGCTACATTAGAATTTCACTGTTATTCTTTCGGTTTATTATAACTAACAAAAACATATTGTGATCTATGTAGCTTGATCACTATACTTCGTGTACACATACACAAAGATATCTAAATATGAATCACACACTGAGATGCCCGCCATATCACCAGCGCCTGATTCAAATAGGTATACAGAGAGTCCCATGTAATCCTCGGAGATATCTGCAGCTACCCTATCATCAAAAAAGCATACTTCCATCTCATTTGCAAAAAATGGAGACCCAAATACTTCCGATCATACTCCCAAACATACGTACGTATCTAACCAGTTCACCATGCTGTAAACAAAACAAGTAATTCCCAAACAATACCGTAACTAAACTCTCCAATACACGCCAAGCCGTAATGATTATCGGACCATCCTACCCTTTTCATCAGCAAATATTTATTATTCGCCATGACCGAGGATTTTTCTCACTGGCGCGCTAACCTTTGATTTTTAGTTTTTTAGTGTCTCGTGGGATGCGAGACAATGGATTTTATTATGTCATAGGGGGCATTATTTGCATGTGGTTGACGCTAATCATTAGTGATTTATTGTTAGGCTGGATGCTAATGCTTTGTTTGCTACTATATTGAGTAGAGTATATCATATACATAGATTTAATGTGCTATGCACAGTCCGTAGATATGCCTTGTATACTATACCTTTTCACTTATAACTAGCCACAAGAATAAAGATACTTACCTACAACCTACACCAAAAAAATCACCCCAAAAATCTACACAAGAATCAACCTAATCACCATGACTCACAAAAGACAAGCTGAACCCAACCCAACAAACCCCACTACACCCGGTGATCACCACCCATCCCTACTACTCCATACTCGTACATATGTACCTAACCTCCATCCATCCCCTCATCCCCTAAGTACCCAGCATACGACCTCCCCTGCCAATAACATACCACCTAAAACCCCCTCCTGCACGGTCATCCAGAATTCCAAAGCATTTAACTGGCCGAAAAAGACAACTAAAGTAGTAGGTACTTACTCGACCTGCATATGAGATGGAAATAAGTGGGTGGATCTACACCCTCTCATCTCACTCACATCATGCTATCCATCCCATGTGCTCATCAGCTGAACATCCATCCATCGTCCTAGTCTATATACGAACTAATATGGAGTATACTCCGTACATACTTACCTAGACAGGACATGCAGTCCGAAATGGATATCTAATACTCTATCGTGATTGACTGCTTCACTCACCGATTCAGGAGGGGCTGAGCTCGGCATTCGGGTTTGTTGCTTTTTGTCGGACTTCTTGTGCGTTGCTTACTCTTGCTTGTTTCACTATTGGAGATGGTGTGATTGGTAGGTATCGAGGGAGTGGACTGGAAATGGGGGTGAATTCGTATTTTGCGACTTGCTTGCTAGCTTCTCTGCTTATTTGCGTGGAATTTGATTGGAGGGTTACGGGTACCTGGTGAGGGGTTTTCTGTTGGGCAGGATATAGAATTGAGGAGAATGGGGTGGTACCTAATAGTAATGTGGTTACCTGATGGGGAGTGGGTTTGCGAGAGGTAGTGGTGTAGATGATTCTATTTTGTAAGTTTTAGTAATTGGGAAATGTGGGTGTGGGATGGATTGTTTTCAGCTAGTTGGGGGAGGTGGTAGGTGTGTTCCAGGGGTTAGGGATTAGGTATCATGAGGTTACTGTGAGTTGCTTGATGAGAACTGAGAATTCTATAGTATGTGGTAGTTGACATGCTCTATAGCAGCTAATCACATTCAAGGTATATAAGTATATCAATTGCAATAACATATCATCAAATGCATATCGCTCAAATGCCCAAAACATCAAATAGTATATCATATCATATCACAATCGCAAGATCCCAAACATATCCCACAACTCTCTAATGAATAACCACGACATGAATAATGTCATAGGTAGCTATTAAAAAAAATGGCCTAACAACTCACTGCATAAACAGCCATACAAGCAGCAACAACCAAATCCAACATCTTAATCCCCTCATCTTCAATGATCAACTTGCCCAATTTCGCAGACTTCCCCCGTAACCCTCCGCCTGCGCGCTCCCGTGCAAGAGAAAGATCCAGACGGTCCTCACTCGGTGGCCGGCGCAAAAGTCCCGATTTCTCGCGCTCCTCGAGATCCCCGGCCCCGCTGCTCGTGCTGCTATTCGAGGGATTCCGTGTGTGGTGGCTAGAGCCGATATTCTCGCCAATTGAGGTGATACTGGCACCGGAGCGAGCGCGGGGCCGTGTATACTTGTTCGGGTTGAGGAGGCGGGCGAAAGAGTCGCGTTTCGAGGAGGGGTTTGCGGAGGTGGGAGTTTGTGGGGAGGAGAGGTAGGAATCCGTTGGGGGTGAGGTGGGATGATAGGATGCGTACGATGGAACGGGCTGGTGAAGGTGGCCCGTTCGAAATGGCGTGTTGAAGCGGATCTCGGCGACAGTGATGGCAGGGGGTTCGGGCGTGGAAGTCGGGTGGTGATGGTGGCTGCTGGCGTTGGGGAAGCCAGGGGTGGGTATCATGTGTTTGCATTTGAGGCTACGGCCATTAACGCTCGTTGTAAACGTGCAGATGCCATTCCA